TATCCAGATTAGTATAGAGAATCTAGTAGTTATGCTGCCTCACTTATGTCAAGTGGAGAAACCTCAATTTACATAAGGAGGATGTCAAAAAGTAAGAATTTTTTGGTCGTCCACCTAGACTAAATCAAATCTAATGGTGTGTTTTCATAAAAGTTCCGAACCGATATAACGGAACTTTGCCTACAGTCCTTACCTATGTGAAGTCATTTCTAGATTTGTTTTTTTGCGAAAATACACGCGACAATAACTACTATTTTTATTTGTAATTTATAAGAGAAGAGACAGACTGAACAGGGATCGCAATGCGAATAATTATTAAACGTAGCATCAAATTACATATCGTTATTTTGCTTGCCGAGTCCTCTTCAAATACCTTTCTTCTTAATCTACGCGTTTCCATTCAAAAAAAGAATACGAAACTGGTTAATGTAACTTCGGCCATATTTCTTTATAAATATCGGTCCAAGCGCATACCCTTAAATGAGTTCTTAGAAGCGACGCCCTTCTGTGAACTCATGCGTTGAAATGCGATATACTCAAAACTAAATAGTTTGCGAAGGAATGCGCTGTCTGCCAGTTAGCTTCTGGTCTTTAAGAGTTGTTGAATTATCCAAAACCTTTTAATGATTGCTGCAAGCGTACTACAGGCGTTTTTAAAATATTTTTCAATTGTTAAGAACTCGAGAAACACAGAAGGTTCTCCCTTAGTATTTTCTTTAAAATCGCTTTTTAAATCATTATATTTTCGAAGTACAGAGCGGATAAGTAAACTGGTTTTCATAGCCAGAGTGCATTCGGGAATTAAGGAGTTTTTAATGTGGACTAAGCTATACCGAAGCTGTGCTTTTGACGTCTGGACTCCAAATGTGAAAAGGAAATTTTCTGTACTTATTCAAACGATTTTGTCCAGGTCGGTCTCATGCGCATGGACTACTCCATGTAGTCTTAAATTATTTTCAAAATTTTTTCTGAACCAGTAAGTTGTCATAAATTTCTTGATTATTACACGCTCACTAGGTAAAATGGTCAGATTTTTCAGGAAAAGGTATACTAGTCTGGAAATCCTGTACAACTCCCGGGAGCTAAGGAAAAAAAGCCTCATCTCACTGGCTGGTTAACTAATTTCAACTTAATTTTTCGAAAATGAAATAAATGACCAAAATGTTTAAAAATTAAGATACCCCACGCTTTCAGATTTTATGTATATAGAGGGTAGTTCTATTTCCTTAAGACAAAGAGTTCTATTTCCTAGCCCGAGCAAAGAAGTCGGGCCCACATAATGTACGTTTCACATAACAGGCGGATCATATAGGAGTTTGAACAGGCGTTCTTTGTACAATGAAGTAGATAACTTGTACCTATGCAGTGATAACCTGTCTTGCCACTTTGCATGAATAAATATGTGGTCATATTTTACACCGCATTTCAATAGACTTGACTAATCAATTTTACCCAAAAATCGAAAGTAAGGCCAACTTTTAGAATAACGTACCCACGGCATTCAGCACATAATCCTCACGATATAGAACCCGACGGCCTTTTTGACCACCCCGGTACGCTGAAAATCATGACTTTAAAAGATGCCAACTGACGGGCTAACTCGGCCCCCCTCTCAGGACGGAGATCCAGACTACAATTTCTCCTTTCCAACGCAGCCCTAATGGAAACCCCATCCAAATGAGATCTGATTCGACTGTCTTCTTTGTGAGAAAACGTGGTTAGTCATGCGCGGACCGGGCGCTTATGGCACGCGCTGAGGGACTTTTCAGTTATGTCAGCCACTGCGCCCCATCCTGCCTTCCGCCTTTTTGACTCTGTCTTGGTTTAAATGGGTGAGGGAGGAGAGACTGCGGTAGATGCAGCGCAAGTCTACTGTTACTATAAAGTAATGTACGCGCAAGTCATCATCCCTGCGCCCACTTTGCTGTGAGGCAAATGGTAGACATCGTCAGTGACGGTTATCAAACTGTCGTCCGTGTGCGCTGGCTACTCCACTTAAAGACCTCTGCAGTCGTGCAAATTAATCAGTAATGTCCAGAGCATCTGGTTTTGATGACCACGAAATGCTTCATGCGTCATATTCATAGTATCTTCATTCAGTTACTCTGTTTTAAAAAAATTTCAAATTATAAGTCGTTTTAAGCATATCGGTCATGGCTATAGGTTAAAGAACAGTATGTCGCCTACCCATTTTTAGGAAATTCCAAATTAACTGGAAAACGATATTCTGGCAACATACTGAAATACTTGTACTCGTTATGGAAAAGGGGTATTTCCGACTGACAGATCCATCTTCAATTATTTCGCAGTTTTAGTTGGTTCCTACTATCATCAGAATTTTTTCTTCTCACGTGTTTACTCGGTCAATAAGGAAACCAACAGCTTATCGTCTTAAATTCATTACTTTCCGACACTTGGACTCGAGTGCCAAATTCGGATGTTGTGAGCTAAGCTGCAAACTACAGCACACACTGTTCGGTGAGGTTTATGTGTAAGCGACCGTTGCCACGAAATCTTCCTTTTGAACCCCAATGGCCGATTTTGCAAAAAGCAACCGAGTAGTCGTAGCAATTAACTTTAATCATCGTCTAATTAGTTGAAGTGCCTTTCGCCTTTCAAGCGAGGCACGTAAGAACAGTAGGATTGGAAAGTCCGCTTTCATTCAATAAGATGACACACAATCTAGGGATTGCGTCCGTTGTGTTTGGTGAGTTTTATTTTCCTATGCGGATACAGGACTTCTGCGGTCGTTCAAAATTTCTACACCGACTTCGGCGACCTGAACCTTAAAAAAATCAGTATCACTGATGAGACAAGCACCCACCAATGAGCAAAATAATATTTAATATTAAAGTGTAGCTGTGTACGTAAATGAGGGAGCTGCGTCTGATAAAATCGTACCCAATGACACTCTTTGCGTTTATTTCAAAAACAGTAAGGACAGTATAGGGGCGATAACTGCAAAGTATTCAAAAAGACTTGCAGACAAACCGTATCGTAATCAAATAGAAAATACCCCAAAGTTCATATTAAGAATCCAGTCTCAGGTATTTCGGACTTGGGGGGCATCCGAGAGGGCAACCTGGGTAATCGAATGCTTACTTGTGTTTCACGGTAAATTTTTATTTGTCTCTTTAAATACCTTAATCCTAAATCGCTTACTGAAACTGACAGTCGGGAAATATTTTACGGTCGATTTCATCTTGAGAGTTTAAGTGCTACTTCAGACTTCCTTTAGTTTTCGTTTTCAAAAAAAGGGTTTAACTAAAGGCCGCTTTGGTTGTCTGCAGTAGATACATAATTACTCAGGCCTAAAGGAGCTACATAAAGAAGTTTTATACTAAGTTTGTTCAGTATGTGATTTAGTACATTATTGACTGTCCAAGGAACAGATACGTTAAGAGTCATGCCAACACATTTTGATGATAGTTATTTATGTCCTGCCACTTTTTGCGAACACGGTGGTCGTTGACATTTTGACCTCTATTAATTACATTTGTTATATTACGCACGCAATGTGAAATCTTTTGTGATGTTGGCCCCTACTTGGGCACTCGGTGGATCCACATAGCAAGGGCGTGAAAAAATTCATCGTTTTTGTTAGGTCAGCCACGTAAATAATTGAAGACGTTCGTTTTACACAATGGGGCCTGGAAGGACTTTGTTTTGATTGGCAATGTGCTCGTAAATTATGTAAAATCTTTTAGTCAACTATGTTCGGCTTCTAAATTTAGCTTAGGATTTTCAGAAATCACTTGAATTCTTTGAGACGAAATTCTTATAAAATCCCTTTCAGCGCATTTTTCTGCCTTGCTTTAGCTATCAGACGTCCTGGAGCACCCCTGGGTTGTAAGGTACAGTTTTGTTTACAAGATTTGTTTTTGTTATAACATGTTAAATCTGTAACTGACGGATTTTCAAGGTCAGTCTAAAAAAAACTGGAAAGGCAGTGTCCAGGCTTTTTCTTTTAAAACGCACTGACGCCATATAGACGCATAAAGTTGGCTATCAGTACCTATTAGAAGTTGCCTTTTGGTGACAGATAACAAGTTCTGTATTGCAAGGGTATTTTTGTCAAATTTGAATATTTCAGACGTCTAAAATGCTAAGTGTACGGTAGGTTGTATACTGAGCGACCTATGAAGAGTTTGTGACAAATTATTTCACATCATTTAACAGTGCATCATTTCTCCCACACATAAATTAGAAACGTACATGTCACTTCACTTTACCTAAACCACAAGACAAATAAGAAAACTGTTATCCAAATCCAAAAGAGAACTTTGCAGACAATAGATGACTATTTAGAAGTGCGTAAAGCCTCACAGTCATACGAATAAGGTTACGACGGCCAGGTTGTACAAGTTCTAGCAATAGCGTAGGATTGTCATGCTTCTTAATTTGGTCGGAATGTTGACTTTAACAAAGTTTATCTGGAAATATCTGCGTACCTGTCAGCCTGCTTAGTCCGTTATATAAGTTTAATCTGGTTTAATGGACTGATTATTCGAAAGTCTTATAGTCCTTCCCAGCCTCCAGTGGAAGTTGTTTTTGACAATACCCATTTTGATCAGTAGAAGAAGCAATCGCTGGACCAAGGTCTTTATTCGCCTGACGTTTCGGATTCTCACTTGAATCCATCATCAGAGACAGTAGCAGATGGATTCAAGTGAGAATCCGAAACGTCAGGCGAATAAAGACCTTGTTCCAGTGATCGCTTCTTCTTCTGATCAACTAGTTCCTGGAACTCGCAGCTTTTCTTGTATCGGTAATACCCATTTTTTCACTCCGTTTTGTCTGACAGTGCAAGAAAGTGTGCCTTTCAGAGAGCATGAACAAGCATACACAAAGTTTTTTTTTAAAAAATAATCTGGTTACTGTATAAGAGCCCTGCAATTTAAACGATTTTTGTCTGAATCGAACCTTTAAGTCGTATAAATAAGATATCGGCCCATCTTCCTCATAGTGATCAGGAGATTCCTCTGCAAACCGAACTCCCGATGTCCCAAGCCGTTCAAACCTCGATCATACCTTCACGCGAAGATGTTGATCCCGATATCTTCAGCACCATGACTTCCCTTCAATGTTTTCGAGATGAGGAGAAGTTGTACGAGGCTTTGCTCTCTCCTGTGTGAGTGTATCTCATCAAAACATTCTCTTGTGTCTAACAACTAAACACCACTAATTCTTAATCTAGCATTATATAAAGCTGAAAGCGTTGGGCACATTCATTCGTTTGAAAGACGAATTATAATGAGGATGTTGCTAGTCAGTCATCCAGCAAGGATATTATGCAGACAGGGCGTTTAAGGTGTTATGAAGGAGCAAAGAACTGTTTCATTAAAGAAAATGTCTTAATAAACGAGGAATGACTTTTAAAACACCTATTCCAAAGAGCGGTTGTAAGACAAGCGATTCTCCTGTTTAATTAAGTCAAAAGCTTTTCTAGATCAAAGAAGCTTAGTAAAAAAGCTGCCCATAACATAAACAGACAACTTCAAAACTGCTTCTACATCACGGTAATATGGGTTTAATGGAAAAATATCCCTGGAAGAGGCGAGTAAATTTTTGCGTAAAGATGAATTAATCTGGGATGCGCTTCCAATCAACTGTCGGAAAAACGAAAAAGGCCGAATGATTCCTTCATTTAAAATATTGCCACAACGGATAGCCTGGAGCAATATAACAACAATGGTCCCCGACTCCTAAGACAGGCTTGCTTACTCCGAAATGATAGTTCTGTCAAAGTTTTAGGTTTGCTATAATAATATAAGCTTGAAATAGTAGACATTTAGTGCGTAATTTGCCTGTTTGCAGCGTGGTTTGTCAAACAGGCGTTTTTAACGACTAATTCAAGTGTAAAAAACATTTGTACTATCAGCGTTTTTCATAATTATCACGCGTGTGCTCTTCTCTTCTCAGCAATAAATTATAAACTAAAATCATGTGGTTTTCGAAATTACATCTCTTCAGAATTTGTCGCTGGTTCAAATGCTAAGAAGTACATTTTTTCGAGTCCTATAAAATTTGCCATAAACGAAAGTCAGTTTTCGTTTATTCCTAGTATTAAAGGCTTACTTTCTATGTCTTTCAATTAAAGCCACAATACGGAAAAGGTAATTTACTTCCTCCTTCTGGACCGCAAAATCCGCAGTCCTTGCTACGATGATCCGGATGAAATACGTTCCCGCGGCTGCACAAGTAAGGTTTATTTGAATCTACACTAACGATTTTTCTAATGATAACGTATTAATATAATCACTTTTCCGTACAGGCAGGTCCCACGCCATATATTCCCCCTTCTGCGGAAAATCGATTAAAAGTGGATGTATAAATTTAGTTCGATCATTTCACTTTCTCCTTCGTTTATTTCGTCTGACGACTGGTTGGTGTCACCAGCTCGAAAATTCACGGGTACAACTCAATTCTTCCCGACGAGCCTTCTATCTTCTTCATAAATTTATAGGCTGTTACATTGCGAGTGACAGAGCAGGGTTGACCAGTTGCGAAGATTTTTAGTATTTGCACCGGGCATGACTGGCCTTTGTGGACGTCTAAATAGAACATGAAAACTGGAGTCGCCTGCAATACGGGTGGCTTTGAGCCAATGTCCGGTGAAATTGGGGTCGGGTATAAAGTAAGGGGTAGGGTTACGTTAAGGAATAGGTTCAAGGTTAGGCTTAAAGTTAACGTAAGCCCGGACTAAGTTTAGGGTTGACGTAAGACTAGTGTTAACTGCGGAGCTAAGGTTTAGAGCGGGGCTAGGGTCAAGATAAAGACCATAGTTTAATTTTATTAAGGCTCTTGTTGGGGTTGGGAGAGGATAATATTTTGCTCTCCTCGGAATTATGCGCAGGCCTAAATTTATTACTGGAGCAAGGCGTTCCTATTTCCATGTCTCGTTTAGACGCCCACACAAGTCAATCTCACCATGCACTGAAGCATAATATTGAGGCGAGTTAACGCGTCTTTGGGCTTGTTATCGATAGCTGATTGTTGATATCGAGTACTTTTAATTAACTGTAATAAAATGTTGATTTCACAAGATTAATATTCCACCTTTGTTGCCTTTTAGTGGGAGTGTATCCAGTAAAAGGTAAGGCAAACAGGGAATTTCTCTGTTATCATTTTTTAACCGATGATGTGTCACCATGCATTTTCTTAAAGCCATTTAATGATTTTCAGGCGGACGTCGTCTGTGCAATGATAATAATGTAACACTTTTTGTAGACCCGCCTCGAAAAAGAATAGACAGTCGACGACTGGCTCTCAATGGAACAGCGCGCCTTTCACTGGGTGATCTCAGCGAGGGCTCCCCACTCACAGGCCGACGAGGACTCGCAGTACAGAAGTTGTATGTTTTAACAGATATCCTTTCATTTATAATTATTAGTTTTTGTCAAATAAATGCACATCTAATGATTAACTTTTATGGTATTGCTAGTTTGTAAGCAGAATGCTGGATTTTGAATGTTCTTGTGGCCTTAAGGTGGTTATACGACGATGAAATCATTCTAGACGAACTGTGTAAAATACTGGCCTGCATTTGTTTATAAGACCAGATAGCGATAAGTTGTGTGCACAAGAATGTTAGCCTTAAGATTCCTAGAGTATGCGTAAAAACATTCAAAATCCCTGAAATTAGTGGAAGCATAAGGAGTGGGAGTGACATTTTTGGCCAGGTAAGTACTGTGTTTGACACGTTCAGATATTATGATATGTTGCAGAGACTAGGCCAATGAGAATACAATTTTAGTTTCAATAACAAGTAATTACCGCATTTTTCTTTGCTTAAAAGCGTGCGCCTTTTACTTAGAACGCCAAAACTTTACTTTGTGTTGACTGCAAAGCCGATTAGAATGTTTAAAGGACAGAAGTACTTCATATACAACGATTACAACATACTAATTTTTGACGAGATATGCGTATCTGTGTTAGCTAAATTTGATCGGCAAAGGTATTTGAGAAAAACAAATATTTTATTGCACATTTTCGAATTCGATGCCACAGCTCTTCAGCAGACGAATGGGTAAGGCAGAAAAAACGTGGCCTGCGTCAATGTGCGTATGAACGCCAGGGATTCCTTATCTAAATGATTATTCAAAAGATCTAGGTCTGATATATTTTGTCCTATAGTTGTTATTGCAAAAGTTACCCACGTGGTGCAGATGACTTACTAATTTACCGGGCACAAAAACTTTAATCCTAACGTTGTTTAAAAGTAGTCGAAGGACTTTTATGCAATAAGCTGAATACGTCGTTTAGACGTATACTGCTCGTAAATGCACATTTTGTAACGACGTATGCTAGGGAAGTCCGCCCATGAAAGACAAGCAGCACTATTTGCAGTTCCAAAAATCTAACTTCATTTTAAATTTCGGGATCACGAGTTGCAAAATGTGTCCTAAGATTTCCACACTGACTCCTTTAGCAAACAATTCCACAGCAAAGCTACGTAAATGCTGCAAAAGCTGTCCTTATTACTGCCTTCAAATTGTCACTCGGCGTAGGAAAATGGGCAAAACAATTAAGACAATGCCAACATGGGAAAAAAAGTTAGATCGCTGAAGTTCCTACAATTTCTCTCTAATATTTTAGGCCAACTTTAGCGACAATCTGATCTGACTTTCACTCAAAGTCACGTGGCTGTAGCGTGCGTGATCTGCTAAGACATATGTGCACATGACACGCAGTGACAGCCGAAACGGTTCATCTAATTGCTAAGAAAGTTTCTAATTGAAAGGCACTAACAGGAAAAGCGGAATTTATTGGTGTGGAATAGGGATTTATAGCATATGAGGTGGCAGGTTTACAACTCCAGCTAGGAAGGATGGATTATCGACTAGTCTGCACCGTTGCTGATTGTTGACACGCAGGCTCCGGCATGCGAAGTCGAAACCCAGGGTCTGTGCTTTAGAACAGTTACCCTGACTGTGACGATATTTTTTACCTGAAGGTAGTCTATTAGTTTGAACTTTCGAACTCGATGTCATATCCATCGTTGGTACTATCGGTAGCAGCACACTGAATGGTAGTCATGATAATTTAACTGTTAAAATTTCAGTATTGTAAACACAAAGCTGGATGCCTGGAGCCACGTGATTCTGCGAGATGTGTGCGATTGGTCGAATACTTGTTAGAGGCTCAAGCGACCGACGACTGAGGCATACATTTCTGCCGCAAAGTTGGGATTGTCGTCCGCTTGAGTCCTCTAGTGAATGAAAATGTGACTGTTGGTTTACAAGGACTTTGAGTAGCCTGTACGCACAACTTGCTCACAGAGTCTTAATTCACCGATTAATCTCCCACTTTACTTCCCAGTTAGACGCAGTAAACTGGGTTCTAGACAGCGGCACAACTATGTGCTATACGCCCCCCATTCTTAGTATACAACCTGAACCTGGCTTGCCTCCACTCACACTATTTAAGTTTTCCAACGGGTTTCAAAGTCTAGGCCTGCTATCAGCGTATTTAGAGAAGAATTTTAATCCGGTCTACGTCAGACCGGCTCCTATCCTTAATATTGATATATTTCACACCAGAAGAATGGTCCATGCTCTTCCTGGTTCAACGAACAAAATTTTGAAATACGCAGTAGATGAAGTCATCTTTAAGTTTATCAAAAATCTCTAACCAGTTGGTAACCGTTTCAAGTACACCAACCAAAACTTTCGACTAATGAATGACTTGAAATCAAATAAAAACGCATGAAGTCAAATAAAGTGCTAATAAAATATTCAGAAGTAACAATTTCTCAGGGAAGGCAAAAATGCTTAGGGCTCTTATATTCATGCCAAAAGAGTAAACTAAATGTTCTAGGGAATATCAAGCCTGCCTATACAAATGACTGAGTAAATAAAAAACGTAGACATGAGAACTTTTTAAAGCTTATTTTAAATTATTTTTGGGATAAATTTCTTGCAGTTTAGAATGTTTAATTTGTTCCAAAATGCTGTCCGGATACTTTGATGTAATGCTTCCTTTATATATTGCTCGAAATGTTGTTTGCTATGGCAAAAAGCTTCTGGCAAATCTGACCGGTTGTAATAATTGCACGTTGCAAAATCTGCAGATTTACACCAGGCCCGTCATCAACAAGGTAAAAAGTTTAAATATAGGGTAAATTTCAGTCGCATCCAAAATGCTTAATGTTTCCTTCAGCAAAATATATTAAAAGCATACGACGTGTGACAAAACGGCTTTTCAGCAGCCTGTTAGACTAGTAAGTGAAATGCAGAATATTATAGTTGTTCCAATCTAGTGACGTAGTTTTCGGTCAGTAGGTATGTCTCTGATGAGAGCCATCTTTTAAAGTATTTTTGTGAGAAACGAAAAGCCATCGTACAAATATGGTGGTAATTTACCCCAAGTCCGTCTGTTTTTCCTAATACACAGTTTGGTCTGATATCTCACGGTAAAAATAACTGACTAGCCTACAACCATCCTGGCCTATTTTTTTCGCCAAGACCATAAATGAGCTTCGTACTCATGTCATATTTATGAGTGCTCTTTCTTAAGCTGGTAATCCGAAAGAGCATCCACCACAGGTATTTTGCTTAAGGTGACCAAATCTTTTAGTTTGCTGCTCAGTTGAGAAAGGGCTGTGAGTCAGCCTTAAAAAACAATTTGTCACGACTTGAGGCAATTTGAAAAGACAGATAGGCGATCACTGTTTTCAGTGGTGATATCGGCCACTCAATTCAACAGACAGCCGAATGAAACGTGCAAAAATTGGCGACCTACGCACTAGGCAAGCTACACTGCATAATTATAAGCAAGCACACGATTCTTCGGCACCTACAAATGGGAAGCCCAGATCGTTTTTTGAAACGTCAGGTCCAACTTTAACCTCTCCCTTCCCCTTCTTCTTTGACATGGCACTTGGGAATGGCATCTACATCACTATTCATTATGGTGGAGAGAGAGGTTCGTAGGACATATTTATAGGCGCGCGGTCGATACTCGGAGCCTTCATATTATAACATAAGGGAATGCATTGCTTTTTGAATTACTTCAACTTTATCGCTACATGTACAGGGACAAAGATTTAAATTAAATGATTTGATCTGGTATCTTTAGGACCTGAAGGCATTTGAAAATGCCAAAAAGGGCTTCCATATGATTTGATCACTAGCTTTTTAACGCTTCAGTCGACAGACGTCACTCTATCTCAAAATGTGGTTATAAATGTTGCTGTTTTGAGTGAGTCTGCTAGTTTTCTTAAATTGAAGTCTTTTTTCCAGCAAAACACTACGTTCATTGAGCATTAAAGCGCGTGCTTGTGCCCTAAGTACACTTCTGCCCAAACCAATAAACGTCAGGTCAATACATGGCAAGTCACCGACAATCAGCAATATTGCATTGTCAGGCAACTTAAAAATACGAATCTCTCAAGATTTCGTTCACATATCATACTAAGTTAATTCTGACAACGCGGTCTGTTGGTCGGACAAAACGGAACCCCGTGCTTTTCCCTGGAGGACGGAGAATCAAGGACACTTAATGTAGCCTTGTTCTGCATATCTGTCTGGCGCAGAATGCGCAAAAGGCGTTTCACTCAGGGCCAGCCAACTTTACGAAGTCTGCACTTATGATAACGAACTGTCATTAGCTGGGGGACGGTCTGTAGCATAGTTCAGCCAGCAACCAGAAAGCTTATTGCGGATAAATTCGTGTAGATGTAATCACGGCTGTAATAGATCAGCCATCAGAATCAACGAACACTTAGCAATGGATATGTGTTGTAGGAGTTTCTCGGCGTGTTCTTTATCGCTTAATGAGTTTACGGATATAATAGGGGAAACAACTAGTGACTGCAGCTTAATAACTTCAGTCTAGAGGGTTACAGTTAAAGATGTAGAAGAATTTAAACAGAGGCTAAATAGGTTTGTTTTAAAATCGAATTATGCGGTGCTCAATATTCTCATATACCCTGTGGACAATTCAATAGCTTAGTCTAGAGTCAATAAGTAAGAGATAAACAACAAGGGTGTGCTTACGTTCTCAGGCCAACGCGATGTTGATTTGAATGTTATCCTAAAATTGGACTGAAGCATGATATAAATAAACTCCTGGCATAGATTTATGCTGGGATAGGTGTTAAAGCGCAATTGCAGACTGTGCGCCCGAGGTGGAGGCGTACATGGTTTCAGTTACAGAAGACGATTGCCAGATAGAGTAGATGACCTCGATCATGAAATGTATCGAAATTTACAAATAGCTGCCTACATGAATTAATGGATCCAGTATATATATTAAATAAATGCAACTTTAAAAGAATTGAAAACGTAAACAAAATACTAAAGGCCGTATTGTGTGCCGTCAAAATGCCGTTTTGTTTTAGAAAAATGTATAATCTCGAAAACTTCAGAAATGGCCGCAATTAATAAACTCCATTTTTATGTAACAAATGTCTTCTCGTGAACAAAACGAAGTAAATTTGAAAGTTAAAATTAACTAACGTTTAAAAATAGTGTCTTCAAGACGTTTGTATTTAAATATTCTTTAAGAATTTGTGTAATTTTATATTTGGCGGCTTGTCAACAGTAAACATTCCGAGTATAGATTCCAAAAGAGTTTTCCGGGGATTCGTTGTATTCTTAACTCGCTTGAGTAGAATGAGATGCGTTTGAACAGAATAAACGGGTGTTTGCTTGATTTCATCAAAGGGGACTTCGTAGGAGCAAACGTTCTCATAAGGTCACACTCTTCTACGCCGAACGGTAACTAAAAGATTTAAACAGAATTTACTGGCATGATCGTGCTTATGGGGAGACCTTCGCCTCCATTAAATTTACTTTGCGCCTTTCGTCGAATGTCAGAAAGGCCATGAAATATTGCTGAATACTTCATAATTTTCAGTGTATTCCTCGGGTCGCTTATAAGGGCAGATCCTGTATCATGTATCTATTAAAGACTTTAAAGTAAAATGTTTTTTGAAGCCATTTACCGAATTGGCGAGTGTTTGAGCGCTGTTTTTCGGGAAGGACGTCGTTTAGGTCACATTTGAGGACTAATTCAAACAAGAGACCCCATTGTCTAATAAACGTTTCCGACAAAAGCTAGCAATGAAGATGTCTTAAGTCAATTAGAAAACTTTCTCTTATAGGTTATCTTTCTAAGAAGTACTTTACTACCGTACTTCATTGAGGAATCTCTGTGTATTTTGCATTTTGCACGGTGAGGCCAAGAAACATGAAACAGTTTTGACCGTTTCTCATTCCAAAACAATATTAATATTGGTCAATCGTAAACGTAAGAACATGCGGCCGTTTCCACCCTGTTTTCTCGTTTTTAGACTCTGTTTACGATTACGAATGCACGGCAGAGTGCCCATTTAAATGCTGCTATTTTACTGAAACTGTTAATGTTTTGTTCTTCACATTTTTGAGTAAGGTAGACGCAAAAGCTACACAACGCGACAAATAATGTTTCATATGTTCAAAATTGGAAATGAACATTTACTGGTGGTCATTTCTGTGACATCACGGACAATTTTCCAAACAGCAAAGCAATTTCGGTCCATTTAAAGGAACGATTCCCTGTGTGCGTTATTACTGCACTTCAGGATACCACATTACCCATAAATGTTAATTTGGCTTCTAAAAGTTGATAGAATATCTAATTTTCTTAAAATAACCATTCTGCAAGCAGTGCGATTACCACGATCAGCATCGGACAAGGAATATATTTCAAGTTCGGCAATCTATTTCTGTTAACATTCTCACTAGTAAATTAAATTTGTTTCACTGAAAAGCCCGCTCAGATGCCCAACCGCAGACTAGGACAGGTATTGACATAGGGCATTGCCCGAATATATCGCAATGTTCATTTTCGCTAAAGTGTAGGAACATTTTGCTTGATTTAATTACGTGAGCACAATTTCTGCAAACAAAAAGAACATTTCACTGAGGTGGCTGGATGAGCAAGCAAAATACGCAACTTTTATGTTGTCCAGAAATTATCACATCAGTTTCCGTTAGCAGGTTTTATGAGCTAGTTCGCGTACTGTATGTACGTCAGCTGTCAGTAAGAGATGAGAACGACAGTTCGAACGTCGTAAAGTGCGCCAGATCAGGGTGGACGCGGGTGCGGTAACTTCCGCACGAATTAGTTTATAGTTGACTTGGGCAACACCTGCTGCTCTCCCACGCTCAACTTACCCACCGCAGTGAGGTGACAAGACAGCGTCAAGTGGACCGGAGACAGACTCGAGTGCAGTGGCTAACAAAGCTAAACCGCTCGGTCCGTCTACTGCCGCCACATACGACCTGGTCCCCGCAAAACGTACCAGATTTTTAAAAAGTGCGCCTCGGACCCCCCCCCACAGAGTGGGAGTGCCACAGAGGCCACATTCAAAATGAGCTATTGAACTCAACTTTCCGTTCTGAGAGAATCGACTTACTGAGTCAGTTGACACCAGGTCACCATTTGATCCTGTGATTGATCAGTAGTACCTAGCGTGACGCGAGACTGCGCTCCGCCATGCCATCATTCCCTTCCCTGGTGTGACATTTGTTACGGGATGCGCGGACTCTGCGAAGTCCGGTTAACGGCCGTCCTTTCCTAATGTGGGCTCCTATGTTGGTTCAGTGCCACATATACGACATTTGATCCTCGGTCTTAACGACTCCTACCGTGTATTCCATAGTCGGATAGGTGCGTGGAAGGTGACTTGAACGTGAATTAGTTTATAGTAGTAGTGGACCTGTGCAGCATCTACCGCACTCTCTCGACCTCCCCCATCTGGTCCAGGAGTCAAGACAGATTCAGGAAAATCGGAAGCAGGAGTGGCCGCAGATGGCTGGCACGGCGACAAACCGTACCTAGTAGTACCAGCACACCTCCTGCTTACCAAGAATCACTGACCAGGGTTTTATACAACAACAAAAAGGGAGGGGGGTCGGATCCCAGTCGGCGCCGCGTGAACCCCCAAATGGGTTTCCGTTCTAAGTAACGCCTACCAGACAACGACTCAGCTCCTGCGTTGGTCCAGCGCACCTACCACGTGACCCGTTTTAAAGGCAAAACACACACGCAAACAGTTTTCTTTTGTTTGCCTTTTGTGACTGCGTACTAATCGATAAATACTAAGTTATCTTATCGGTCATTTTAAGGTTGAGGCATAAAAAGTAGCAGAACACTTTCTCCAAACTGTCATTTTCGACAAAAAAAATCGCTGGTTACGACTATCAAACTCATTTTGCATGCAAAAATTTAGGATCTGATCAACACTTAGGCCGGTTTCACATACGAGAAAGAAATCAGCAAGATGCTAACGTACATGTAACATCCGTGTTTTGCAAACATTTTAGGCTTAATTTTCAACGATTTACTCGTTATCTAGTAAGGGTCGTTGATGCCAAGTCAAATTCCAAAAATGCAACATTGTGAGGAACATTTCTAGAATTTTAAAATTTGGTTGGGAAGACAAAACATCTCTCAATCACCTTACATCACAGCACTTACAAGATTAGTCTGTGATGGTGCGAACTTCACCAAATAAACGTCTTCCTCTGGCGTCATCAAATAAAAGCATATATAACAGCTTGCCAAGGATCATGTTACTTTTTCACCACGAATGGGAGGATTATCGTAAAACAATAAGATGTCCATTTGGCGTCGGTGAATGCGAACGCAGCTGGTAAGATCCTTCACGATGCCGATGGGCACCTTACTGTGGATGTGACCGTTTCCAATATCAAATTTGTCATCTTCTCCGAATTTTATGGCCATCTAATTTCCTAGTTATCCGACCAACGGTGCCGCTTTCGTAGGTTTTTCTTTCAACGAGATACCATTACAGGAGCAAGCAACCTTACCAAATAAAGGTCGACAATCAAGAATAGGCTCTCAAATCAATTAAATGATCGCTCTGTCGTGGATGTTTACAGTTAACGGCTAAATTACATCAGTCTTTGACGGATTATGCCCAGAATAACAACTGTCAAACGTACTCTGTGGGTCATATAAGACTGACTTCTAGCACCCATTAAACAAACCTTTCGTTTTTCCGTCTAAGAACAATTTTCTTCGACCCACGTATTGTTATGCACAGCGCTGTCATTAATAGTTCGCAGCATAGGGGTCTTACTAATCGTGAAAATGAATGCTAATGAATCGCGTGACGGTCCTATCATTACTATTTTTGCTTTCACTCAAAGCCAACGTCAGAAAGAAGATGTGTTAATAAAGTAGGAAGGAGTGGAAACATATCGAAAATACATCTTGCATCTATTTACACCCTGTAATCCTTAGTGTTGTAGAGCAAGCATTTGATATTCATTTTATTACTGCATCTTATAACATGAAATGTTAGAAACTTTGAAATTACAGTCACTGGTCAATCTGGTGAAATGGTAACCGTAGTTCGGAAATGTATTTTCAAGTAAAAAGAGTAACTTGAGAGGGGTTCTACTATTAACTGTCTTGCAGCATAATGCCGTAATATTTCAGGCACGCAGGTATAATGGCAGCTATGTCCACTTCTTTTGGCCGCCTGCAATGGCCGCACTTCACAAAATTGACTACTTAATTACGTTCAATTTACTTTAGGGATTTTCAACCTCGTGATAAATTCACATGTATTTCATTAAAAAACCATCAAATTATTTGTCCTGGAAGCCAATTTGTAACAGGTCACATCTTTTTTCAATTTTATTCCCAAAAAGGGTACTTTTGGTTTGAAGAATGTCCTCCAATTCGGGAATACTGTTATGCTCTGTCTGCCGTTGTATTTGTGTTTACGGTTTTTAGTCTTTTAGCTGTATACTTTCCACGAAACGAAAGCCATTCGTTTCTTTATGCCGTTAGGTACAAAACATTTCGAATTTATACAATTTTTCAGCTAATATGGACTTTTCTCTATACTTCATAAGAAGCATTCCCAAATAGGCAGATACGATGCCATTTGAATGGACACTGCCTGGCCTTTAATCTCTTTCAACGGAAAATGTGTTTTCTGCGAGAAAAAAAAATTGAAAAAAGTGTGATTTGTTACCAAATGACTGCGAGAAAGTATATTTTAGGCTTGTTTTCTACAAAATATATGGCAATTTATCCGGACATCGAAATTCAACACAAATGGTTACACTACTTAATTTGTCCTTTTTTCAGTCCGCAAAGAAGCACATTTAAATTCCAACATCCTGGCGTGTACGAAACATTGTGGCATCAGCGTTTTAACCCCACTAAAGTTAATTTTTCCTAATCGAAAGCACAATTGAGAATTTAAGTTAACATTTCATGACATCGTTCACTGACTGTAAAATTCTGCAGGCACAACCCGCCTCATGTCTCTCGAAAAACCGATATTTTTTTATCTTTACGCACGATTTTCATAACGACAAAATTCGATTTTCCGATTACCGCAGGTGGCCGACGCAAACGTCTTGCCTAAATTAATATGATTTATTAGGAGAATATGAGCAAGGATGTGGTCATGGCATACGTAAATCACCTTCAAAACCAATTCACCGTCATAACGGGCTTTTTACGTTCTATACTTATTTAATAAATAAACGAGGCAAAAATGCCTACTATTTGGTTGGATGTAGATCAAAATATTTCATGATTTTCCTAACCTGCTGAAAGTATTCAATTAAGTTTATAAAAATCAGAAAGCTAATAGAGAAAAATTTGAGTTATTAAATCATATGAAAAAGGTGTACAGGAAAATATAAATAGGAAGTGCTAAATTTCAAAACGGGCACTCGGCTAAATGGCTACATGTGGAATATGCTGATGATCTCCTTTTATGTCGTCTGAATTGTAACCTAATAAGCGATAAACTGAGGCAGACGCAAGACATCAAGCATTTCCCCATGATGTTTGTTGACGATGGTGTAAACGTAGGGACTCAGTTTCGACAAAAGCAGACTTGCAACCTACTACACAATGACCAGAGCATTGCGAAGTTGTGAAGTGAAATGCGTAGTTTTTATTATAACGAGGCCGAGGCGTTTTAACATAAAGAAGCAGTATACAGGGCTGCTTATATTTCATGAGCGGTTTTTAAATATCAGTAACCAGTGTTTCTTATAGAAGTATTTTAATGCTCGAGTGTCCCTTAATTATTTGGCTTTTGGTCAGCACATAAATAATCAAATGCCAAAAATTATTCTCAAAATTACTTATGCCATAAGAAATTGTCTTATACGTTGCCCTTGTTTCTACTTATACGTCAAGTGCACGATCAAAAGTAGGTCAACAGGTTACAGGCTAAATCGACCGTTTTACCAATAAATTAAGATGCATACGCTCGTGGGAGTAAATACTATATGCTTTTTTCAAACTGTGCCAGTTAAAAAGCAAATTCCTTTAAATATATTTTCAGTTATGGAGTGTTAAGTAAGGCCTTATTTCTAAATAACTCAACATTGCTTTTTCCCGTTGCCAACGAACTTCTCAGGCAATTTCTACATCAGTAACACTGTGACTGATGTGACGTCCACATATTTCGTTTCTGAATGCAGCACCAGCGATGAATGTAACTCACGTATTTGAGGAGCATTGTATTGGTTGGTGAATGTCTATCTCATTAGCTATGACTTCGAAAAAAGTCGAAAGTTAGCTGTACAAACAAAAGACGAGACCGTAGACCATAGGCCGTGGTACAGATCAAAGTAATGGGAGGACAAAAGTTATTTTCCGGCCAGGGTATTGAAAATGTCCACATTGTTTGCGTAACCGACAAAATCCGCAGCCTTGTCAGCTTACGAAATACGGATATCGAGTGTGCTTGGTAAAAAGTGGAGATATTAGCCAAACTCAAGTCCAGTTTGAAGGCTTTTTACTAACTAATATCTCAGAGCTGACAATATCCTTAAATGCGTAAAACTATGAGACCATCTTCCTGATACTTTAGGAGGAAACAGTCTTGCAGCAGCAACGCCGACAGCCGCTCCAACACGCCTTCCGCCAGCCCACTCAGCTCCCCACTGGGATTCCAGCGCGGCTATTTTCGAGCCGGCAGTTACGAGGGTCCGGCTGCAATTGGTTTTCATGGTCGAGACTCCGAGACCTCCAATCAGGTCATCAGTTCGCCTACCAAGAAGCTGGTGGAGAGTAGGCTATCCGGACGCAGAGGCAATGTGCCAGGACCGCAAAGTCCACCACTGCTGCTCTCGCCGACACGCCACCAGTGCCGACTGCCTGTTCGACAGGTCAAGTCCCCGCCTGCAGTCATTGGCCCCCGCGTTCTGGGTGAACTGAGTAGCACCGCCGTCGAACGCCGTAACAAGGCAAACCTCCATCTGAGTCTTAATAGCTCCCCTGTCTGTACCCCGGTCTCACCCACCAATAGGCCTTTCCTGTCCGGGGAGATCGAAAACAAAAAGACGGAGTCTAAGTGGCCATCCAGATCGGGTCCTGAAAGCTTATCTCCAATGTGTTCTCCGCGAGAGGAAGAGGAGGAGAGGAAGGCATGTTTATGTCTGTGGTCTCATTACCGTTTTTTTGTGCAAAGTTCACAGAGGACAGTGTTATGTCCTCATGTCTGATGTAAAGTTTATTTTTGAGGTGGACGCAAGTACTAGGTGACGGCTCTCTAATAAGCGCGCTGCGTGAGCTCATGAGGTTAACTTGAATTCCTTCAAAACTAAGTATTAGACTGCTTTAAGTAAGTTGGCTTAGATGTCAGCGTCGACAGTGAGTGAAGTGTAAGCGCCGACGACTCCAGTCCCGTGACTGTTTCTCTCCGCAACAAGCCGTTAAGTTTTTTTTTTTCAGTGAAAAACATGCGGTTCCAAAACAATATGTCCAACAATTTCTGTATGTTACTTAACACAGGCAATGAAGTAAAATACGAGCAAAGGATGATGAACATTCAGAAGCAAATACTGAACATATTTCGAGCATTCAAAAACGTGACGTGAAGTCGCTTGTTCTCAAAAGCAGCGCTTGTTTGCAGGTTTTTCTAAGTCTAGTAGTGACTGCTGGACTTTCTGTAGATTCGGCTTTCACTGATCTTTATTCGAAAAGGCGCCATGATATAAAGGACTTCTCGGAAGATTAAAACTTGTTTTTCCTCTCTTGCCTTGTTTGCTATCCTCATAAGCAACTTGTTCTCACGTCGTCTGAAGTCAGGCACACAATTTCAAAAAAACTAGATGCACTTTAACAGAGCAAAAACGGTTGTCCCAGGCAGGTTTTGCATTTCATTTTAATGCCTTGCCGAAATCGCATGCATTACTTTGTGGCCATGATGAGAGAAACATTTTAGATAGGAAACTTGAATGTTAAAAGAATGGCATACATGAGTTGAGTAAAAAAAGGGAAACAACCGGCAAATGGAAAAACCTGCCATCATTCGTTGTAATGTTTCTAATCGTGTGAACATTTTAGTTAATACGGAAGTTGATTTTTCAAGCATTTACACAAATTATCGATTTTTACTGACACATGGTTGAAGTTAATTTAGAGTGTTAATCCTCACCGTTGCGATGACTACCATCCAGCGCAGTGTGCATTTTTCTATTGATTTTTGTTACCTGTGATAGACGGTTTAGTCTTCCTGGGAGACGTTGCCGCAACTTCATTTGTTAACTTCAATCCGTCACTTCTGAAACCCTCGCGCAACGTATAACCTAAAATACTCAGCAGCTTCGAAGTCTAAAGGCAAATTCCGTTAAACGTTTCCATCGTTCAAAAAGGTTCCAAAATGTATTGTGAACGACTTAGCTGAACCCCATCGTTTTTTGTGGTAAAATGAAGTAGCAATCGATGATGTTAGTATTTGTAGAACATATGGAACATTTTGCAGGGGAGAAGTAAAAGCTAAGCAACGTTTAGCCCTAACTGGCTTCCTGCCTGCAGACTTTTTAAACTGAAATATCTTCTTATTTAAATATTTCATTTTGTATTGTTTTTTCTTCAGAAAACTAGAAATTATAAATGGGCAATCCGTGGAAAAGCATTTGAAAGCCGGAAAAGTTTTTTGGCGACTGAGTTTGACATGTAGCCGGGGTTCTTTGGTGCATCACAGAACTTTTTGTGCACCATAATTTTTTTCATTTTTGTTTGATTTTACAGATAGGCATTTCTTTGGCGTACAAACAAACAAACCGTGTTATATAATTTCGGGAAAAAAAGATATTTGTCCTACCTGTTGCATTTCCACTTACTATAGTCATTAGTGGACACACACAAGTGAAACTGAGTCCAGCCATAGGGACGTAAATACCTTTTGTCCTGACCTTATTTCCTGTAAAAAATGACTCATTTTGGAGTACTTGTGCATTTAGATTCGCGCCAGTTTTGCTTAGTTGCAGGAGGAGATAATTGCAGCAATTGGTGCAATAAACAGTTTTTGGTGTTTCTCTGGACTTTACTGGCAGCCAGTGTGATAACCTGCAGCCCATGTATGTGAGTGTACTCTAATGCCGACCTCCGCTTTTTAAAGCGTAGCAAGGGTTGCCAGTAAGCACCGGGCCTTTTAACAACCAGCTACAGCTTTAATCGTGTTACTGGCCAGGTAGTTAGCACAGCATTACGTTTTATTGTCTGGCTGCGCTAATGTCTGCTTGCATGTGAGCAATGAAATGGAGGGTAGAAAATCACCCATATGGCATTAAGGCTAAACCGTATGAGGCTCATCAAAGTGTGCAACTGATGTGCACTATATTGTATGCTCCAGGAGAAGCATTAAAAAAAGATTAGAGTGGGAATTACGCGGCTTTAGATGATGCGTGATTGGAAATTTTTTAAACCTAAAGACATTTTTTCTTCTAGTATAAAATTCAGATAATACATTGTATGCCATCACATGAGCATACGAAATTTTTTTATGCCTGATGTCCATAAGATAGGTCAGAATTTAAATGGGCATCAAACGTAAAGGGGAAAATGTATGCCACATGAGTTGTCATATTTTACGAAGAACAATTTCAGCAGGCGGTCGAAATGAAGTACGTACAAAAGTAAATATCTCAGCGTACTCGAAATATTGTGGAATTTTGTTTCAGGATAATCAATATTACAGCCCAACCTAAACAATCCTTTCTAATTGAAAGCGCATTTCATTACTTTGGTTAGCATTTCATGTGGTCGGTCGCTGACTGTACCAACCCCGATTTATACTAGCGTTCCCTACTCTCCCACCATCAGGGTATTTCTAAAGGGACACAGCCAAGAGCAGTTTACTTATGGCCTGTAATTTGCATCGTTTAGTTTATTTAAATACGTACGCTGGTCCAGGTATGACTGACAGTGAATATCTTATTCTTCCTGGTGATCAGTGTTAGGCCTTCCATTTCTACACATGACGCACTGTCCTGGCCCATCATCCCAAGATAGTGGGCATTTTTACACTAGCAGTAGTGGCTCCGTGGTTGTTAGGACTCACGTTCATATTTACTAAACTAGTCAAAAACATAGTTAAGACGATCTTTTAGGAGTTTTCATTTTGAGCGTTGGATAGAAAAGAGCAATTTGTCTGTCTGAGAGGACGCATGCCTGCAGTTGAAACGACGGAACGGCTGTCGATTTTGTGTTCTGCCCTTGGAATAAAAGCAAATGAATGCCAGAGGCTTCTGTATACAAACCTTTGAGGTTTACTTGAGATGGACTTTTGCGTTCTTAATTTTTTAAGGGGCAAACGCCAGAGGCAATTAACAGTGATAAGGAAGTTAATTTTAATTAAGTTAATTATGCCGTCGACCCCATTAACGATTACGTTTTGATGACCAAGTCTACTTTCGTTTCTAGACCTGAATACAAAAGCGCCAATCCTCAAAAAATAGACAGCCATGCAGGAGAGCATCGTAATTTACTGAAGGATTTAAATGTACTAGACGTTTTATGTCGCAAAAAATGACGGCAAAATGAACATTCGTCTTAGTCAATGTAATTAACATACAGCTCTGCGAGTAGCCCTTGACACAACTTTAGGTTGGGCCCAAAGTCATTATTAGATTACCGCTCCGGTTAGAAGCGAGTCGATCAACTACGAAGAAAACCGTTCTGAATAAGACTAAAAACGCAATTACTGCAGAATGATTCTCACAAAAGTGGATCAGAGGTGATGAATTTGTAGGAGGCTGGTAAGAAGTTGTCATGCTTTTCCCTTACGCCTTCATCCCTCGTAAAACCTCAAAAAATCTCTCTTTTTGTTAACTGCTCAAGCCCTATGGCGGGAGGGAAGGAGTTCCTTTCGATAGCTGGGTAAGTGTTCAGTACGATCTATGTTCGCAATAGTCATCTACTGCATACTGCGTCAACCGAACAGAAGGCAAAATTCGTTCCTCGGATACAATATCACCGACTCTCTAAAAATAGAACCGTAGGGGAAAGTGCACTTGCGTCTCCTGCAATATGCCTGTTTTTTTGCTCCTCTTCTTTGCCGTCGAAAGTTACCTTTACAAGTCATTACAGGACAAAAGAACAGCTGCCGCTGTTTAGTGGGTTTTTGAGGGGCTGAGCTTAAGATGTGTATTTATATTTTGCCTTCAAATATCAATGTTGTAGAAAAGACCAATCACTGTCATGTACAAAACGTTTTTTTCTGCATGATGTTGGGAAATGCTTGAATAACAGTGGAGGGTGAAATACTGGGACAGCTGTGAACCACTGAATTCGAAACAGTTTTGGTTTGCCCGTGTTTAAACTTTAGTTCAGTTCTCGTCCGTTTTCTTTGTTCCTAATAAGCCAGTAAATAAACCAAATGATTACTTTCCTTCGAATTTACGTTTTCAGTTGACTCCCTTCAACAGGTGAAATAAACATCTCCTGTTATCTAACTCCTGTTCAATGATAGTTCCAACATATACGAGGCTGATTCACCCATCACATCTATTTTAGTCGAACGGATCTGTCAAAAGGGACAACAGTAGACAAGTGGAACCTCAATGCCCGGAAGTTGCCACCACTACCACCACCACCAGCAGCAGTGAGACGACGACACCAACTACCGCCACTACCACCACGACCAGCACCACAGGCACTGGTACCGTTGACAACCTGCCCACTGCGACGTCTCCTCTCTCGCCCCAACACTGGCGGGCCCGTCTTAACAACTTTAAGGTGAACTTCCTCGGATCGCCCCGATTTCACCGCAAGAAGGCTACAGTCATTTGTACTGTCAGCGGGACACCGCCAGACAGCCCAGTGCATTACAGCTCTCGCATGACGCCTCATGGAACCTCTCGGAGGAGTTTGAACGCCACGCCCGAGGTCTCACCCCTGTAAGTCAGAATGCCTGGCCGGGCTTACTCTACTGCTCGCTTAATGGTGGTTGTCATAGCGGACTGCGCTCCAGATGCGCTGAGCCAAGACGGAGACCGGCTCACGGCACGAGTATACCGGGCTGTGCCGCATCTGCGTGTGCGTGTGCATGGTACGCCTTAGACTGTTGCCTTTACGACACGCCAGCCGCTATGCTAATTCTACCACCAGCTGATTGACAGGCTAGAGGAGCTGGCCGATGCATGGGACAGTACAAGTGGGTGAATTAATCCTAATGACAAATTAACTCATTTCTCATTGCAATAAATCCGGTGAACATTAACGATCACGACGTACGAAGAGGTGTGTGACTCGGAAGACTGCCAACTAACTGAGTCGCTCGCTTCTCACACGTCTGACGGTCAGGCTGTAATGCCTCATTCCTTAGGTGGCCTTCATGTAACCCTCACGCCTGTCCGATCCAGGCTGTCGGTGGATAGCCCGGCACAGGTGATGTGCGGCGTGCCATGTGCGACTGCTAGGTTTTTCAAACACTCGTTCCGCGTGCAAATTTAGGCCTTATATTGGCACCGGAGTAACTTGGGTAATAGAAAAGTGAGCACGTTTGATGCTGCGTAAGTCTGCCACATCAGAAACGACTTCTCCTGTAAGTCATAGCTGCCGCACCCACATCCGAGGGACAAGTGTTGGATGCCCTTGGTACGACTGCCAAACTGTCATGTTTATGCTATAGCAGATTTGTATTAGTACCAAAAACCACTTTCATAGAGATTGGTACGTTAGGTAAAACACGAAAGAACAGCGCTTGTGTAATGGTTTGATTAAATCATAAGCCCAAGCTTAGGTACGCAGCAAAAAATATTTTAGTTTTTCCTTTTTATGTGTGATTTTCTCGTTTCTTAACGCGAGTTCATGACTTTGCTCGTTTCGGTCTTGTACAAAAGTTTATCTGCCTGCCTTCTGTTTAAAAAGCCCAAGATGGTCAATATAGGTAAAACAGTCGGGTTTAAGGAGGTCTCTAAGAAAAAAAGAAGAAGGAAAAATCTTGACCACAAGACAAAAAGTTTGTGCTAAGTTTTAACGTCCCGCTCGAACCCACCATCAGAGAGAGTAACAAAGTGTGGCGGCATAAAAGGGCCGTTTTCAGTAAAACAGCAAATGCGATGCATCCCAATCAACCACAAGCGCGATTGTGTAATCACCCTTTATCCGCATGCTCAGACACAATGTAGATATACGGAAGACAAGGTTACCAATCTACAATACATTCGGCTGGTGTTGGAAACGTTCGGCTGCCCCGTCTCCTCCGAACCTGCGTCAGTCAAACTTTAATACTAGTCAACAAACCGCAAAAAATCTAATGTGTGGATAGGAGTACTCTTGTACGTTAAGAATGTCTCGAAACGTTTCAGCCACACACATGCCGGAGTTGAGTTTTTTGACGTTAAATGATGAGCCTGAAGCACCCAATTCTTCCGCGAGAACCATAAACAATCTTTAACCTAATTGGATGAAATTGCAGGCAAGAAAGTTCTCGGAGAAGCGGACTGATTGCTCCTGATCACCGAGTACACAGCAGCATCTACGGAGAATGAAGTTAATTTGCAGATCGCAGCTGGCTCTCTTGGACCCGGTTAGACCTTTGAGCTTGACGAGATCAAAATCCCCTAGAAAGATGATAACCGCTGAGAGTCGCGAGCTGCTTGAATTATGCTTCTCCGGTTCGCAGGCACTCAACATGCGCAGTTATCCTGTCCCTCCTGTTCGGTGCTAAAACTTTGCTTGCACAAGGTTATAAGTCAATCGGGGAGGGAGCAGATGAATACTGCTTCCAGCGGCAGTATCGGGGAGGCGAACGGTGGAACACCTATCTTTCCCATCACAAGCTCCAATGATAAAATCGCAGTAAGTAAGGCCTCTGGTGCTCTCGACGAATTGACGACCGCACCAAGTGTGTGGCTGCGCTAAGCGCGGGCATTACTAGTTTTGAAAGGTCCGCGATTGCCTAGTTGGCTCATTCCCTAAGCATCCGGTAGCCGTCTTCGTTCCTGTCTTCGATGATTGCTTTGATTATGGGTCTGGAATCTCAGGCGAATATAGTTTTTGTTCTGGCCATCGAGTCCCCTTCTCAAATGTTAAATGTTTGCTGGGTCACAAGGCCTAGCTTGTCATATGGTACTGCATTGCCATGTGCAGTGCTATTTAGGCGTTACTGCGAAAAAGTAAGCACACACGCCCAAGTATCATCGATTTCAGCGCCATGCAGCCGGAACTCATGTCTGAGAAGATTATTACGAGACTTGTTAGTACTGTGGGGAATTCAATGAATTTACGTGACGAGAGTTTTTATTAATCTAGTTAATTTGAAACCTGTTATGCCGATGCGGTCCTAGGTGCTATGTATGCTACGTATGCATATTACAACTTTTGCAATTTTAAGAATGGAAAAAAGGAAGGAGGAACGTATAGACCTAATTTATGAAATATAATAACACAATTCACAAGGATCGGAAGGTGAAACTAAATACCGCTGTGGACTCAATGAGGATAAAGACTACCACGTGAAGTTTTGCTTGACCTCTCTATAAATATAGTTTCAGGTCGATTGCAGAACCCCTAATAAAGGCCGTTAACAACACTGATGTAACCTAATCCCTGCTACGTATCTACAATTTGCAGACTATCGCACAAGTCCTGGTTTGACGGCTTTCTTCCTCTCGGCTCTCAAAACGGCCAAACTGCCAGACAGCCCGTCGGGGTTGTCCGCTCTATCGCGTCCTCAAAAAAAGACTCCAACCTTACCACTGCCTCCGGCAGCGGGACCAGTCGTCAATACATTCGTCCACCCACGGGATCCGAGGAGACACTGTCTGGTGATGCCGCCAGATCGGAGAATCTCGTACCCACTGTCTCAACCACCTGCTCGGCTGCCGCCCAGGAGGCGACCTCTCCAGGTGGCGAGGTGCATGCACACAAAGCGCGGACTCCAGGGGGCGTGCAACAGGCGCACCGGCTGACCATCTCACGGAAGGTGTTGGCGAGCAAGCTGGGACACAATGCCACCTCACCGAGCAGTCATCTGCCGCCGATGGTCGGCGCGCACCAGCAGCAGCAGCAAGCCTACTTGGCCAGCGGTTCCGCCGTCGCCTCGAAAATGCACGGGTTGATAGACCCCATGCATGTGTGTAACCACATGCCGGGCGGGCTGACTGTACTGCCTGAGGAAACAAATCATGTAACCATGGTGAAAGGTCGACCATTTAATCGGCTTAAGTCGGAAATTGCACAGGTGAGTAAAAAGTAAAACTATGGGATTTTTAAAGCGACAGAATTATGAGCAAAATCAACGGATAAGCGTTTATCGTATAATAATTAATCAACTTCCTAGCGAAGTGTGTGAATGTGTTTTGCGTAATTCGCCATTCCGAAAATACGGGTACTAGCTTAAAGCCGAGATACATGTTTTGCCCACGTTTACGCCGCTGTATGACAAAAATGCATGGCGCTGGCTGTTCAGTCGTTCCCTCAGTGTTTCCCGTGAGCTGTTTTGTTATCGCCGAATGCAAACCAAACAATGTCTGACGCAAGCATGAGCCATTGTTACTGTCATGATTTAAACACCGTCCTAATAATCGCAAAGATAACTTAAATCGCCGGGTTTTGACAGTCGGATTTTGTATCAATCATGTGAACTAAATTGCTACCTTTCGTAGCTCATTGGCAGGTTTTGAGTTCTAAACCCTCGGGGCAGACGGAATTGCCGTCGACGTTTTCGCTCTAGAACAGAAAAACAGACTGACAGTCTGCTAGATGAATAAAATTTCCGTTTCTTTAATATACTTATGTACACCTGGTTAAATGAGGGCTTTCATTGCTCAATTTATCCAAAGTAATACGTTATTTTGATTTTTCAAAGCAAAATTATTTGCTGAATATTGCGAGAGCATTCCCAAAGACATTATGGAACGTCTGTAAATATACCGCCTTTTCATACATAACAATGTGAGTACCTCTGAGCACATTGGTCCATGAGAAGGGCGCTGTCTTAACTTGGCTGCCTATTTCTTGTTTATTTGGCCATTGGTCACCATTAACTTCGGCAAGAGAGCAACCTACCGACCATTCTTCCCAGGAACCAAATATTAACGAACTGCCATGTAGATTGTCATTTGAATGCTGGGTGGTTAGCGTAGAGAACCGTTTTGGGAGTCCAGGTAATTCTGTCGAATCTGTAAGTACTTTGATTTGAGAATGTTATATCTTGCATTTGAACAGTACATGAGCTTGATATGAACACAAACGTGATCATGGCCCAACCAGCAGCTTCGGAATTCTCCATTCTGCAAGGATTTCAATCACTTCTTATCATGCATTTGCCTGAAAAGCATTTGTTTGAAAAGCAATCCTCCTTGGCGTTTCATAATTAATGTTGACTTTTTAAAACGACTGCGCTAATTTTTGAAAATATGCATGAAATCATTTTTTTTCATTTTAACAGCATAACTCGACTTAAGCTATGTCACTACTTGATTTGTCAAAGTAGACAAAAACTTTGGTTTTCGACAAAGCCTTTTTACGGGTATGCGCTGGATGGGCTGCTGAGCTGCAGGCAAAACGATTTGGCGGTGAAATCATGTACAAACGACTCCCCCATCACCTGAACTTCTATGTCAATATTTTTCCTCGAAACAAACGAACACTTGAGCGGTTTTACGTGAGAAATCAAGCAACATGCCTTAATATCATGGATGCCAAATTTGCCAAGTTGGTACTACTTGCTGAGTCCATTTTTAAGCGAACCGGTGGATCTGGCGAAATAAGACATTTCCTTCGGCCGATAGGTACCCACCTAGTTACGGCGCCTAGGCCACGCCCAGCCTTTGAAATAGCTCCAATGTACTCACTTGACCCAAATGTGATTAAACTCACGTCGTCCAGCCGGGCCTCAAAGCTCAAGTGGTTAGAGCATTCGCTGTTCTAAAGCCTTCCCGTTACTGCGTGGATTCGAATCCCACCGAGGCGCCGAGTTTTTCACAATTGGGTCAATATGAATTATTCAAAACTTGCCAAAACTTCTATGGATCCACTGGATGTCTAAGGACACTATAGCCTGGCAGAACCAGTGTGATTTTGCTGGCGGTAAAAGAATATAGGCCAATCATTTCCAGGAATTCAATACCTCATTGGAAGATAGAGCGTCGAACTAGTAGGAAAGATTGTTTTGTGAGTAGGCAACGCACCTACTCAATTAGAAATGAAAAGGTGATGATAGGGTAAGAGCCTCTGGCCATTAGACTAGTGAACACAGTCATCATTGTCCAAAACACACAGGAACAGTGCTGACTGTGCCACTGCAGGACATGCCCACGTCCACATCTTCTACTGACTTTTCGAACTTCTGAGATCTCCCGTGCCGGCTCTAGGGGCAGCGGTCAGCGTAACTAGCTGGTAAATGGGATGGGCGAATGAGCTGCAGCTAGACGCAGAGGGGAAAGACATCGTGTCCCTTCTGGAAGAAGAAGAAGATGAAATCGCTGGAGCAAGACGTTCACGGGCCTGACATTTCGGATTCTCATCCGAACCCGTTGTCAGAGACACTCGCAAGGCGCCCCGAATTTCTAAGTTGCGGTTGTAAGGTCACCACACGGCTATTCTATTTGGCAGTACTCGTGTTTATCTCTAGGGATCGAAGTTAATGCGATGATTGCTTGTCACTCCGTACCCGGATCGTTAACTGCCATTATTTCATCACCGTTGTCGATTCTCGGCGTGACGATTGCTCGACCACTTACTGTCACCACTTCTCTTCACTGATGCATACTCGGCCACTGGCGCTCATAGTAGTCCCCCAGTCTCTTCGACATCGTTGCTTTGTCCGCAAACAATCCATGTTCGATAAACCACTCCGGAGGTTTTTTGCAGTAGCTGTGGGTCTTCTGGCCGCATGACCCGGTTGCCTCCGGTCTGTGTGTAATTGCCACTCCGGGTGGTGGGAAGAGGCGGTTGATGGCTTCTAAGACGTTTTTCACGAGCGGGAGCGCTCGCCAAAATTTGGGGTCGTCTGAAGTTTGTCCCTCGTCGTGTTTAAGCATGCAGCGACTAGCAAAATTGCGCGGATACCCATTCGCTCGAAGCGCCCGTTAAATACACTGTTGTTCGGCAACCTCGTCTTTCGGTTTGCATCAAGCCGTCTCCACACACCAATATAGGGCCCTTAAGCAACTATTTTTATAACTGATGCGGCGGCTGATGTTTAGGTTCAGTACCTGTGTCGGATCAGTCATTTTTCTGAACACCTTAGTTTTTAGACCACCATAATCTTTGTGGCAAACGAAGACGTCGAGGAAGACTAGCTGGTTGTTTTCCTCTGTCTTCACCTTAAGAAGACGGCGTAAAGATGTCCTTTGAATAGCAGCACAAAGGCATTATCCACATACAGAGTCCAGAATTTCGGTCTGTTTCGACTCAACACTAGCGACTCCAACCATTACAAGACCGCCTCAGCTATGAGTCTCGGAATCGGCGAACCCAGTGACATTCCTCTTACCCGTTTGTAGATTGTTCCGTCAAAAGTGAAGTCTGTTTTGAGACAGGAATTCAGGAGTTGGAGTATTTGGTGTGTCTAAGCCGTTGCATCCTATTTGTTTCGTAAGAATGATTCGATGGTGTAGATTGCCAGGTCCTGCGAAAGAAAAGTGAAAGGGAACGTGACATCAAAAGATACAACGATTTCGCTTGGCGGGAGACTTATCCCTTTAGGTTCCTCCAAGAATTTTGTTAACGAGCAGACTGTGGTGTCCGAATCAGCGATCAGAAATGAAAGGCGTCGAAAGAGCCAATTCTGCAGCTCGTAGATTTGTATGCATTTGAATGTTATGATTGGTCTGAGAGGAGCGCCTTTTTCTGCACTTTAGGCAGACCGCAGAATCAGTCCAAGGCCGTTTCTTGCGCTACTACTATGCGTCGGTCGGTCGAGGATATTGCACCGGAGTTCTCCATTGCCAATAACATGACGCGGATTTTGCGTGTCGGCATTTATAGTTTAATTTGTTTGAAACTTAGAACGGTGGATCCTCCAAAAAACATATGGCTTTTTCAGGGTAGTCGTCTGGTCCAATACGGCAATAGAACGCCCCTTGTCTGCAGGCAGGATAACGAGATCTTTATTGGCCTTGAGTTCCCACAGTGCACCGCTTTCGACCATAGGAAGCACTTCGTGCAGCCTATGTGTCATGGGAAGGGAGGACACTTGGTGTCGAATAAGGTTCTTCGTTTTATCTGGCGGTGGCCGAGCAAATATCACCGCCTTCTCCCTTTCTCTCTCTCTCTCCCTTCCCGTCGGTACTCAGGGATATGAGGAGTAACATAATCAGCGGACTATTCGAGAACAAATATAATAATACTGGCCAGAAGCTAAAATAAAGGCGTCTCATACAGCCCCCAAAATATTACCTCTAAATGTATTTAAGGTTTGAAGTGATCATATCCGAGCAACTTATACGTAAGTCATAGGGAGTGCCGTTGCCACGTTTCATTTCGCAAACGATTCCCTAAAAATAAGAATACTTGACTTTCATGACCTGAAGGCTCTACTTTTGCATCGAAATATCATCGATAGCTCCGCCCTTCTTTTGGAATAAATGGCCCGAGAGTCTCACTACGTTTTGGTCCATATTTTTCTGGACATTTATTTCGCAATGAAGATGGGGTCTAACAATAGCCTGCTATGGCCCTCTGTTCTGCTAGATATTAATCTGTTTTACAAATGTGACATTAGACTTATAATCATGCATATAAAACAATCAAATGCCTTCATGAATCGTTGTAACTCAAAGCATAAATTAACTCTTGGATCACACAGTCAGGCAGATGGACCGAGCGCAGATGAGGCCCAAACTTGAATTTAAAACCGGATAGGTGTAATTAAAATACCTCTTAAGCCACTGTCCGGTCACAAAAACTTGACAGCGAGGTGAAGTCGAACCTGTGACCCCCGGAATTCTCATTCGCTGTTCAAAATCTGAACCATTATAGTCGAGTCGGCTAAATTTTCTGATTAAACGACTTTTCCGTTACTCATACTCAATTGGCATTTAAAGGGCCGCTCCAGGTTTCTATTGAAACTTCCCAAATCGGTAAAGTCAATGTACCTTGCACTCATTAAAAGTTCCAAACATATTTCCGGACAGACGAAATTGTCCGGAAATGCAGTAACTGCTGCTCACTTCACAAGTTTTCAGGCGCGGGCGAGTTTTTCTATTTTAGCTGCACTGACAAAAACTGCTGGCAGGGTGGATTAAGAGTGCTACTTTGGTTATTATTGCTCACTTATAGGTCCTGCTCTCTACTCCCGGTGTCGTTCATACGATTCTTACTCCGACGACTTTTCGAGCCGAGTACCGTCGCGCCGGCAGTGGATCCAGTCTTCTGGCACGACCTGTAAAAATGCAGATTGACATCGTTCGTGCCTCGAATCCGGCTCACGGAATATCCAACGGCACGCCAGATGGCTCTGCCTCAGATGTAGCTCCAGACCGCGAACTTTACGCGGTCAACTTTCAACTCCTCTCCGGTAGGAATCCTTAACAGAACACATTACTTAACGACCTGCCTTTAAACAAGACATTTATTTTATCGCAGCCATTTCTACTCGTCTCGTTTGAGGTGCTCAGAGACATATAATTGCACGCATCATGCGCTCGAGCTCAAAAACGTTTGCTTAACTGAAGACACGATGACAAAAACACAAGGCAGTTAAATGATCACTTCTGGCTTCCCGTAGGATTACTGATCGTAATGCGACTGCCAGCTGACGCGCTAAATTCGGCCCCAAGACACCATAGAGCTATCCTGTTTCGTAGCCTGATCGGTGATCGCACTTCCCCCAATATACACTAAGATGTGTTTGTTAATGAAATTCCGTTTAAATGAAGTTGTAGTCCTGAGAGTCACGAAATCCAAACCTAATTTAGGCAGACACAGTGGAGACGGGCACATAGACATTGGTCGAAACATCGTTCTCTATAAATATTCGTAAGCCCGAAAATGATATACAAATGTGGGTGGAGCGGACATATAGGACCCCTAAATAGGATATCGGTACAAGAACATTCCCCATATAGTATTGATGGATCTGCAAATAATTCCGGAAAGCGCAAAGTATTTCCGTGTCCTAACCCCGAAAATAGCTTTTATCTGGAATTAAGCCGTTGTCCCAATCTTTACTCTAACCCTACCCTAAACCTTAACTCTGCCATTAACACTAGCCCCTTACCTTAACCCTTCTTTGGATCCTCACTTACCTTATCGTTCATTTAAAATCCAGTCTTAAACCTAGTCCCAAACCCGACCCTAACCCAAACCTTAAGACTGACCCTTAATTCGCCAGAAGTTGACTCAAAGTCCCCGTATCGCAGGCAATTCCTGTTCTCATATCCCGCTTAGGAGTCATATAAGTCAATCTCACCCAAAAGTGTTTAGCTTTACAATTACTTCAGAAGGCTTCATGTCCACATGAAATTTGGCGTTTAATGCGGCGGAATATTCTGACATTTAAAATTCTATTTTTATTTTATCTCTTCCATTTTGGTTAATTTACAAATATTATTTTGTTAAGTCGTGAGCACACCTTCCGACACCCATAACGTCCCAGATGTCGTGGGACTTTCATCTGTAAACCTACAGAAATTGATCTGAGCAACTACTCATGTGAATATTTCCAGATTTATCTTTCATTTCAAATTCCCTCTTGCCTTCTGAATCTCTTAAAGATGCATTCTGACAAAGAATCTAAAGCATTTAAGTCACTTAAATAATATGTATTCGACAGACGAATGCAGAGAGTTAAGGCGATTCTAAGTGACAGGACAGATTTAAGACGAACTACCAGCGTATTATGCTGTGGATCCTTATTGAAACTTTACCGCCGAAATCCGTTCAATTCACGGGTATTATCGGTTAATTTCTATGTACTTAAAGGCACCTATCGGACTATGATAGGTTATTTGTGGCGAAAATACTTCATTCTGAATCATTATCCAAAACTTTAGCAGACCTTTATTCATTTACCTCGGAAAACGAAAAAAACTCTTTTGTAATCTTCACGCTCAGGACTCTAACAACGTCGTAAGCACAAATCTATCGCTAATTAATTCGCGGTTTTTATCTCAATCTTCTTTAAAATCGTCACAACCTAGTCAGCTATTGGCATACACAGCAAACATTCGATTTTTTTACGGGCCTGTCTGGCGTAACTGATAACTCATAGCTGTTCTAGACAGGTGTGTTCGTTTCCTCTACATCCAAATGCATTTAAAGCGCAGGAGTTGAAACCATGTTAAGGCAAATGTCTGCTGTGCCGGTGTCAACTTAAGATTTCTTAAGAGGGCCACCCCCTCGCAGCAGTAAGAATGTGTTGTAACCGATGCCAGTGAAAGCAACGTTGGCCTCTCGCCTTACCCATCTTGTGTGCTAATGACCGAGTGTTTTGCAGCACTTCGGTTTTTCCTCTTAACTGCGGCCACATAGCTATGATTCAGAGGGGTGGATTAAACTTCTACGGAGCATCGAAGACCTCTGCAGTGGCTGTTGCCAAACCGTAAAAGGACTTCTGTACTCATACGCTTAGCCAGAATTCTGCGGCTGAAGTTGTTTTTCTCAGTGCTACACGAGGACGGGTTTAAAGGGGAATCATTTAATGACGGGACCTTTGTCAACAAATTCTACCACTTCTCACAAGACCGCATTATTGTGGAAAAACTAATGTCCTTCAGTGAGATTTCACAAACAGTTTCTCGCTCAAAGAACATACGTAATCAAACGGCCGCCAGCTGTACAAATTTCGTCTAGGGTGTCGTGCCCTTTTCCACTATCGTCAGTCCCATTGTTTTGAATTAAAACAACAGTCGCTGTGCTTGCTCTAAATATAGCACTAAATTTTAAATCAATGTTAACGGGGCATATCATGTAGTAGTTTTACAAAACTTAATTGCTATCGATATAAGGCATTGGAAGTAGTAATATCGTGACCAGTAATGTTTGCGTTACTGCCCTTTGATGTCCGAAACCATCGCTCAACTAAATTCTTGCTCCGTCCAATGACAGTTTAATGCACAAATTCTTTTATAAAGGTCATTGTTCGTCAGGGAAATATAATCATAATTTAACTTCACATAGAAAGTGATACTCCACATTGCTCTTTTGCCCGTAAATAACGGCAGCCCCGAACTTCGGCCGAGTAAAATTCGCCTATTTCTCCATAGTTCCGGATAGGAATGAAGATCGCTATTCGTTTTAAAGTCTTTGATCTAGGGTGACAAACTTTTCGACAGAGAAAAAGAGTGACTAAGGTGGTTGGTTCTGGTTTATTCTCGCTCATCCAGCAATCATACGTAATTCCCAGCGGGGCATCTGAGATTTTAATTGGAGTCCGATGATCAGCCAGTACTTTCTTGTCAGAAGCTCTACCATATGGGATAGCAGCCCACTTCTAGCTGGTTGCGTTTGGAAATACTTAGTCTCGCTTCGTTTGTACGCCTCAATTGTTAATTGTGCAGAAGTTTACGATCGCCTGCGAGGGCTTAGGTTCGGAGACAATTACTTTAGTTCTGCACCCAACAGTGATCGACTAGAACAAACATTCGTGTGGTTTTACGTATTAACAAACGCAACCGAAGGATGTGTGCATGCAGCTCAAATGGCAGAATGTTTGACTTGAAAATGCCAGATTTCCAAAAGGTTCGATGCGATATTCCGGGCATCAGTTTGGGGCTGAAATACATCTGTCTGATTATGGCAAATAATGTCTATTGCGGCCCTCCCTCGCCTCATCGATAACATCATCATACGCTTCTTCGGAATCCCTTCAGGGATTTCGATTTAGAATTCCAGACATCCAACACTTGCCTTGATGCCAGTTTAGCAAACCATTCTTGATCTTTTTGACAGAGATCTTTTATCATCTCTGTGACTGATAGACAGAACTGACTTCTCCCACCGAGTGACCAAGCCCTATTGAAAACCACACAGTTGACATACTCAACTCAACAAAGACACGTTCTTCCCATATGTTAGCAAGGCGTCTTCTTTCTCACTTAATCCTGATCTGTGGAGTTGGAAGCTCGGGCATGGAAGCATATTCAGATGTTGGGAGTTTCCTTGAGTTAACTGGAAACATGTATCCGTCTGACACAGGAATATGGGCCACCTGCCATTACACATGGCCTTGCGTTAAATTGCAGACACGTTCCTATTTCCGTTTCTTGACTTAAACCGTGGTTCTTCTACTGCTTCCGCTTCTAACCTCAACCCAACCCTATTTCCAATACCTTGGAATCTACAACAAGGCTATCTGTAATAAGGGGGTTTATATTCGCGCACATAACCCATTTTTCTCCCCATGGCTTGTTTCCCTCTACTTTTCCTTCTTTGAGAGTTTGCACTGTCCGGCCGACAAATGTATTTCAGATATATGGAACTTCAGATATCGACTATCAGATTTTCTCGATAGCCATATATCTCTGGAGATAAGTGTATTAGCCCAGTTGTCTATAGGCCTATTGGGATGGAAATGAGGTTGTTGATCAGATTCATTTACGAACAAACACCGGTGCTGATTATGTCGCAGAAATCATCAACAGACCTAAGCGATATTAAATATTGTGAAGGGATTTAATATCAATGCATGGACCTGCCACGCAATCATATGGAATTAAGGTGGACTGCTGATCAACGGAGTTTTAGTGACAGACATTCGCTCTCCATGGAAAATAATGAAACATTAGGCGAGATTATTCAGTGCGCTTTCAAGCAGGATGGATTGCACTGCAAGGATCTCAAAACTGATTAGGATGCGACACAATAATTTTCCAATTCATGTAAAATATTGCACGGGCTTTCTAATGCGAATACTTTGGCCACCTTAGCAAATCATGCTTCCAGCTTATTTTTTAGAAAGTTTCTATTTCACCGAGTCTAGGGGTTTATTTCAAACTGTTATGTATTGCATAACAAATGCACAGAAATATATTTACAGTCGTACAGTAAAAAATACCGTCTTATTCAATGTTTATGCCTATAGGATGAGATTGTCTGTGCTTTGCAAAGTGTGACCTGATATTTTTGAGGCGTCACAGTAAATTGCCTAAGAACTCGACATGAGCACCACTTATCAATGATCTCTATCAACCAAAAGCGATCGCAATCTATGGACATACATACATATTCACGATAAATTTTAAGACAAAATATGTATGTATGTTCTTACCTAGAAACCGTAGGAGTAGGGGAAAACACCGATATTTTTGACTGAATACAAGTTATGTAGACGTGAAACGTAAGGGGAAATATACCACAGAAACAGGGATCAGTATCTTCTTTTGAAGTCTGCATAGATGCTCAAAAATATACTCCTTCAGAAATCACTATTCCAACGCGTACGAACTGATTTTCGATCAAGTTTCATGCCAGCCAATTTTGCGTTAATAGTCCTTTTCCTATGAAGGCCTACTGATCAGTCTCGGGCACTCCGTCGAGCGTTTTGGGGCTCTTCATGTTCAAGCAAACCTCTGCTGAGACTTGTAGCCTAAACTGTACTGTTATAGGTTTATTGCGTTCCGATGTTTAGAGCGAACTATGGGTAAAAGCTTGACGGCAGCCCAAGAGTTGTGTAATGTTGTCCACAAACATATCTCGCTGCCGCTGAGCAGATTTGAACAGAGATGATTGTTAGATGAACGAATTTTGAGCCTGGAAATAGTTGGCAAAAATGTCCGTCGGAAATAGAAAATATGACTTGTCTGTCAGCCAGGCCAATGCTTTTGGGGTTACAACTAAAGGCACCTTCCTAAGTGGCAGGGCATGACAACAGCCGTGTGTGTAACAACAATCCAACATTTCCGGTCTATTCATTGGCACTGAAGGAATTGTTCTGCACAGCAGACATTTAGCAAAACTTCTGGTATCCTATGTCACAGCGGTGCAATAGTGTCTTCAATCAATATCAGTGATATTTAATTTGGCTCTCCCACACTGCTAATTTAATGAATAGGTATATCCTTTTTGTTCATGGGTAGTTTCCTCTGAAAGATAAGAATCACCTAAGTCTCCGTAGCAGGCGTATCCTTAGAGTGCTTTCACTCCTGACATAGGATGGGATCAAGTCTTATTGGGTTTGTCGTCAAGCTCCTACGAAGTTATGCGAAGGACTGATATTTTTCGAAGCTCCGTAGACCTAAGGAGTATTCATTAGCGACACCGCGCATCCTGCCAGCGCGCTGCGTTTTTTCATCTGCAGCAGAATAGAGTGACAGAAATTGTCCTGACGACTTCAGAATTGCGCAAAGAGGAGTTTTCATCAAACGTAAAATCTTATACAGCCCACGGAATTCCGGTGGTCATAGAGAAGTAAACGAACATAGTACAGCTTCTCCACGGGTTGCTTGGAACAAACGTGGCAAATTCATCCAGAATAGTAAACTCGCATAGAAATCTGTAAACACAGCAGCATGAAGCAACAGGGATGTAAGACGATCGTCAATCAACCGAAGGCATTGTTACTCATATCCAAGTATTCGCCTGTCGGAGAGTTTTGCTTCCGACCTCTAAAGACGCGTGAATGTTTTTCACCTTCGAGGGTGATTTTAGCAGGTAAAGAAATTATGCAGGATGTAGTCACTGACAGAAATAGCGTTGACTCAAATCTGAATTTAACTGTGGACGTTCTAATATTTACCCACGGTAGTTTTGGAACTAGGAACTTACATCGTGTATCTATATCTTCCTTAAACTTTTAAGGCTTGTCTTGGGTAGCAAACGATTTATGTACAACATATTTATCCTAGGTGTTGCATAGCTTTCGTCCTCAAACTCGACCAGTCCGACGTATGCATGTGACATATTGAGAAGAGTGCTTGCATATTCTCCTCATTAGGGAGTTTTCGCCGCCTAAGGGTTCTCACTGTAGACTGTGTATGTCGTGAATTGTAAGGCGGTTGTAAACCAACCGACAGAGTGCCAGTTTTTACCGCTTTACTTTTGTGCACCTAATCAAAGGATTAAAGCAAAAGCAGGCAATAAAATGGCAGTAAAAAGTACAGGTTTCCATCGATTCTGCCTATGTCCATATCTCTGCAGAATGCAATGGCGTGCGGCATGAGATAACTAGTCACGCACTGGGAGTTTCGCATCACCAAGTTGCCCAGCGGTACGGGATTGTGGTCGAATTTTGACCTGTTATTTCGTTTAACCCTCCTACTCTTACCATTATTCGTAAGTCAACGTTCCTAGCAAACGTTTCGAAAAGAATTTCAACACGTACTGGAATTCAAGAGACTGTGTTGCTTCCGAAAGAATCAAATCTGAGCAACACGGCCCTAAACTGTAACAGTTTTTGCGAAATCTTTTCCCAGAAAAACAGTGCAGACAGTTTCGTGACTGGCCAAAATTACCCCTCTTTTCATTCAGAGCCAGAATCCCGAAACATTCAATCATTTGAACAGTTCACCTAACCGAAATTATAGGTTGGCCATAAGACGTATTTCAATCACATGACCCACAGTAGCTGAACTAGCTCATGAAATGTCAACCGAAATTCCGAAGCGGGTTCTCGTTTAGAGAAGATTAATTAAGTAGAATTGTAAAACTAATCAGCCTGCAGTTCAATTCTATAATATTTCATTTACGTCATAATGCCGGCTCTCGAATGAACTTCCTTCCTATCGCATGCAAAATGTACACTCTGTAAAAAAATGACTGCTTAAGTAGCATGAATTTTTCCCTTTGATATTTATGGCCCCTAAAAATTCAACTATATTTCATGGAAAACATGCTTAAAACTATATATTCTTTTGCTCATTCGGTAACTAATTATGTCTTGCAATTTAATACACGAAGGAGGGATATGAGCGGTTTTAAAAAAGTTTCTAATTGTGAGACTTAAATACCGTGAAATGGCCGTCCATAAAATGTCATGTCTCTGCATTTACCAATGTGGCTTGTAAACTTAACAATATGGATCAAATCAAATGCTAAATTTTATGAACCCCATATGGTCTCCTCTCAATTCCGTAGAGAAATGTGTGGTTTTCTGTTCGCGGAAAATACATGGCTTGTAGTCTGGAAACCCAAAATCCAAGTGTGACAGTAGAGCGAATTCAAAATTATTCGAGAATTTGAAAACTTTTTTACAACCGAATTATGTCCCTCCTTCGAGCATAAAATTAGAAGAAGACGTAATTGTCTGCATATGATCAAAAGAATAAGTATTTTTATGCACGTTTTCCATTAAATATAATTGAACTTTTAGGGGCATCAAAAAACACAGAGAAAAAGTCATGCTAATCAAGTAGTCACTTTTTTTAAGTGTAGTATGTGCATGCAGCCGGAAGGAAGTTCGTTCGAAAGTCGGCATCCTGCGGTAACTAAATTATTGTAGAATTATTTTGCAGGCTGATCAGTTTTACAACCCCACTTAATTAATCTTTTCGAAACGAAAACGCATTGCGGAATTTCGGTTAACAGTTCATGAGTTAGCTCACCTAATATACTTAATCCCAGTTCGGCTGATCTTTGAAATAGGGCGCAGGACAACGTTTGCTGACTAGCAATCTAGCAGGGCAATCCTAACTGAGAAGTCTCTATGTGATCAGAGTACAACTGATTCAGCATGACAAGTTCGGCGTAGCTCGCGTTTATAATGGAATAGCTTAATCATTTAGTCCTCGAGGCAGCACTAATTCTGGACTGCGAGAAGTTCGTCTTAGCAAAATGGACAACACAAGGGCAATCATTCATCTTCCCAAACATTGAGTATTTTTAACGTCTTTTTAATTTTTTTGCTTTGGGGCTATTAACGCAGCTCCTTTACACCTAGTCACTTTCATTAACTTGGGGCTACAAAAATCCCACTATCTGTGAGGAAAGTGTTTTGACACACTTTCCCGAATGACCGCATCACAGTGACTAATGAGATTTCAAGGTTTTAAGCTGCCATGCTGGCATTGGTTCCTCCCGCATTCCTCGTGTGTTTTACGGTAAATACTGCGGTTTAGAAATTGTCGTTTTCAGATAGTACCTGTGCTGTCGGTATGGCATCCTGTAACTCCGATACATGCCACTAGCTGCCTGTTAGCGGTTTAATGACTATTACACGGTTACCCCGTTGTGGCTTATAAACCTCAGCCTAAATATTCATACCATGTTTTGGTTTGCGTCCTTGGACCTCAGTTCAACTTGATTTATTTCAAAAAAATTGCCTAATATGTGAAGAAAGCTAAGCAATAAACAATATTTTTAGGAGCAAATGATAACCTGTTTGGCCTACGGGAAAAATCAAAAACTAGTTCGACAAACCGCTGCAACCCGTTTTCTCACATCGAGTGGTAAGAGGTCTTGGTGCCGTAGTTGACAGGATGCATAAAATATGCTCAAATTCGCGAGAACTACCTGACGAGATGGAAATTGACTCTCAGTTAATAATGAACGGTTATTGGTTAGAACAGAACACGAGGAAAATATTTCAGGCAATATCACGCTTGTTAGAAACAGAAATTTGCTTATGAAGCTAAAATACCAAAGACTCTTATTTACTTTGACCCAGCTGTGAAAAACTCGCCGCCTCCGTGGGATTCGAACCCACGACAGCAAGGGGAGTCCTTATTACAGCCAACGCAATAAAACACTCCTTTAATGAACGAGAAAGGGTGCAATAATTATTGATGGAAAGTAAACCATAAGGAGGCCTCGCGGAAATTACTGTCAAAAGCATTTCCAACCTCCTTCCTCACTAATAGCTGCCGAGAGCCTGCCAAGCACTTGACATTTAAAAAACACATTTATACACTACTGCGGAAAGTTTCATTACAGGTTTTGTAATGCGCAATTCTTTGTCAATCCCTTTCGTACACTGTTGCCCCTTCACCGATGAGTATTCAAAGCGGACGTTTCTTCAAACAGTTTACTACTTTATTCCCCACTTCCTTTCATTATGAAAACTTCCAGGTGCCTGTAACCTCCCAGTGGAAATTAAATTATAGGTCCTGCACGCCGATTTAAGAGACTCTGTGAACAACTCCAAGCTCCCTTACTCGCCGGTACCGGAACCTCAGAATTATCGCTCCGCCCGAAGTCCTCGCCAGTGCCCACGGTCAGGCATCGGGCGTTCGTGACCGCCGGTGATTCTGACAGAAGTTCTTTTAACCCCACTGTTATGCAGCCTAATACGATCAACTACTTGACTCAACCAACAGAACCATCCAATCAGTGGGCTTTCATCGATTCCGTTGAGGCAGACAACAGCTTGAATCCCAGTGAAGCGGCCTGCTCAATCAGCACACTCTGTTCACAATTCGAGGCCACACTGGCCGTGAATGACAGTCAGTTGGACTCCCTAATGAAGGGGCCATCAAAATCGAGTGAGTCGACAACTGCAGACGTGGATTGCGAAGGCGAACCGCAGGCATCACAAATGCCGTCGCCGACGGCCGAGACGGATAGTCAAGAGAAGGAGGCGCCGCAGATATTACAATCCGAAAAAATGTGATGCCTACACTTTCAGCACTGACACTTTTATTCACGTAAGCATTTCGTATTTGTATATCTTTTACCATTGCATACACCTCTTGCAAATAGTCATTACAACAGAAGCAAATCGGCACGTTTTGTATACACGGGATAACATGTATAAGGTAGCTGATTCTGACTCTTTGCTGATACGCAAACCTATTTTTTAGAACCTAAGATTGCAGAAATACGGCAAACTAAAAGCTGACTTCTTTTATCATTAAAGGTCCACAAATGCAGCGTAAACACACGTTGGATGTGTTATCGCACGAAACGTTGGCATAAATTCTGAAATCCACTCTCAATTCCAAAAGATAATATGTGTACAGTTGTAATAGTAAGGATCGTAGAACGGAATTCCAAGATATTTCAGTCACGTCAGGATTCCAGCTTTCGACCGCCTACAAAAAGGAAACTGTAAAAATGACTACTAACGTAGTGTGCGCTTTTCTTACTGATTTTCAGTGCATTTCCAGCATAATATATTGGAAACGATGCAAGGTAATATTTGTTTTTTTGTTCAATAGGTAGCCAAAAATGCTTCATACAAACCGTATGCTAAAAAAAACTATATTTTGGTTTAAAATTGTTTACTTATTAGATTTCCAAGGCCGTGAATGTTCATTTATAAGCATTCCATCTCTACACCAATAAATATTGCTTGGAAAGCGTGTAACCTGTCACCAATTCACTGCAACATTTTGCGAATCCTATATATTGTCCTCTAGATAACGTAAATAAATATTTGCTTTTCGTCAGACAACAAATATACAATTTGTACGTTGGAAACCCCAGATGAAAATGTGACGGTAGGATAGGTTAAAAATTATTCGGAAGTTGAAAGCGTTTTTAAGCCGAACAGTGCCCTTCCCTTAAGTGTGGTATTCTAAAAACACGCAATCTGTTACCAGATGAGTAAAAGCATGAATAGTCATTTGTACGTTTTCCATGTAAGAGGCTCAAATCCGTAAGAGTAGTTAAACCAACGAGAACATTCACGTTATTGATGTGGTAAGTTTTCACAGAGTGGGGTTTTGCAGAAGCCCGTTCAAAAGCTGACATCCTTACCTAACTGAAATATCGTGGGATCCTGCTGCGTGATCATCGATGCTACAACCCTGTCTTATTTATCTTTTCAAAGCGAAAGCAGTTTTCACATTTTTGGTTAACATTCCCTCTGACATCACATCTTAAGCTTCAAATAGTCCTAATTGCAGGCAACAGGACATATCAGGTATCGAGGGAAAAATCACTTAAATTCCATTCTATTGGCCCTAAGTAACGATCCCAACGGAGATAACAGTTCTCATTTGCCAAAGTGTGCACTTTAACAAAGTTTTTAATGTCATCCTTGGATTTATTCTCAAGATGAGCTCAGTGACTCATAGACTAACGCGCATCTACCGTTGCGTCCATAAGAAATATCCAGGAAGAAGTGATTTGTCCCTCCATTCTAGGCGTATTCAGGGCAAACAGCATAAAACTTAATTCCTCAAGCCGTGTGTAGTATTTTTCCATTGGTATTATGATGTTGTTAGATGAAAATTAGTAGTAAATTACAATCACAACGTCTCACTTTTGCATGAATTCCGTGAAAGTTACAACTTTTGCTACTCCATACCCTCAAACTAATTGAATGTGATGTTTTCCAGGAGAGATGGAAGTGTAGATAACTGCTGATGCCATATTCGTCGAGCTCTTAAATAACCCACCGAAAATTACTTAAAAATAATTGTGGTACCTTTTGCTAAAATATCATATATTTTACACTCAGTCGACTAACGTCTGCTTCCGGCGTTTTCATTAGTCAAATTCTGACACTTCGAAACAGGCGTTTGGAACCTGACCTTGAAGATTTGACTGTATGGGAAAATATGCAGCAACGAGGTGCTTAGCATTAACCAATAAAACGAAACCTCTTAAGTTGTCTCTTGTAGATGTCAAAAGCGCTGTAGACTACGCGCCTTCCCCCCTGATAGTTCCCTTACGCATTATAGTTAACCATTCTTTTAGCCAGTTTACAAGGGAAAGCACCCCCTGACATTACTTGACCCCCACGTTTGACTCCGACATATTATGATGTTAGCGGCTTTTGCGTGTGTTGGGAATTACTGAAATTGGTAAAGAAGAAAAATACTCGTCCGTCTTATGGAAAGGGGTTGTTTTCATCCATTTAGAAATGCTGCAATCTCCAAGAAGTAGGACAGTTTTGACTGGAACATATTAGGGGAGACGAGGAAGGCACCCAGCCAGGAAAAGAAGTTGTACGACGGAATCTAATTGTCGATCTCGTCTAGCTTCGAGAGTTTGCCTAAACGTTCGCCAGTTGGGTTATTTAGTCAAATGTCTCTCCACTCTTTTATCCAAAAGGCCAGTGCTTATTTTTCGCCTTAGCGCCTACTCACTGTCGAATGCACCACTGGTCCGTCAACCATGGAGTAGCTTGATTTGCAACAAAATACCTGACAGTTTTTGAGAAGGAGGCAATTAGTCAGTTCGAAGGAATTGTTGTTAATGAAATTCGACCGACCAGTAGGCAAACCCACCCTATTCGGGTTCATTTTAATTCGCACTTAACTTTCCTTTCGTCGGAAGTTTCATACACTTTAGATAACGAAAGTTGGCACTGGCAAGGCAGAATAACCCTGTCATCGTTTAAGAGCAGGTTTTCAAGTATGCCTGTAGGAATAAGGCTCCAGTTTCACAATTTAGGAACGAGCCCCAGCTGTCGCAAGCGACGAGGTCCACTACTGTCTCAGGTAGTGGGTGCGGCCGTAGCCTGCGCATGAAGATCTTTATAGTGAAATAAGGCAGGTTTGCATCTAATTTACCCTCTCTATCCATGTACACGGCCTCCTGATGAAAGGACAACGTCAGAACTGTCGGGTGGACGCGGGCGCGGTGTCTGGCACAAATAAACGGTCCGTCTACGCGTGCCATGCACGACCTGGCGCCTGAATTCACGCTTTGTTGAGAAAGGGCACTGGAACCACACACATGCACATCTTACATGTGATTTGAGCGCACTTACCTACTGCTTATTACGCCACTGAGAATAGCCAGAGTAAATACCCTATCCAGGGCTGTGCAAACAAATGAATTAGAAATTGGTGTCTCAAAGTTGCGATTGAGAACTCGATTCCCCCGTTCTTCGAATAGAAGCCGTTTGCCCGAGCAGACAGACTAGGTCTGCAGAAATTTGCAAACAAAGACATTTCTGACCTTGCTTGATATTCATACTTCGTAGTGTCATTTTAAGGCGAATTAATAAATACACGCTTTGTTAATGTGTTCGTAATAAAGAATTATGAAGGGACCTCAAAAGAATTTAGTCTTTATAAGATCATCTACCAAAATGCCATATGTGGCCTGCACAATATAATGAGTCCATCATACTATTATCTTCAAGTCAAAATATGACATTCATCTGATGAATCGGCAGACGCGCTACCGAGTATTTATAAAGGAAGACAAGTCTGCTCTGATTTACACGGCCACATTGATTTTGTCATCCGGTATAATGCGATCATCCAGAGGAGGGATGTTCGACGTTCTGTCTAATAATTATGCTACTGGTTGCCCAGCTCGAAAACAGTTTCTGCATAGTAAAACCAACGCAATGGATGGACAATGAAACTAACGAATTTCACTTCATCGCTCTGCAAAACTTGTAACGTCTCGTGCAACATTGCAAGCAAAAACAAATATTCATGATTATGCGGTTATAAAGGTTCGTTGTCCCAGGAACTCCGTTTTCCTGGTAACCATTTGCAGTTGTAGGTCACTAATTTCAAAGATTTGCCGTTGCAAGTCAGGCCCCGGTCCTTCAACTTTGGCAATTTGCGTCGGACACATTGGATTACGCCCAAACTTGTAAGGTCACAAAAAGCTTGAGATTGGCAAATCTTGCCCGTTGTGACTTGTTTTGTTGGCTCTTAGCGATTTTTTGCAATTTTATTTCAGCCTTTTTAGCCGGATCTTATGCAGTAACTTCACAGTTTCGCATCACAGATCTCACTCAAAATACTGACTGTCACAAAATAATGTATAATGACTGAATAATTACAATGTCGGTCTTTATAATGATATTCAAATGTAATAAAACGTACAGATAACCTTCAGTTATCATCAACTAGCTGTCCATCCCGGCCTATGCCACTGTAACCACAAGCGACGGAACAGTAAACCTTAATAGGCATTTTATTTGTTGTTTGTGTGCATTATTTATCGCTGGATGTTCTCGAATCAATGACCGTTCTCGCCTTTACAGATTGGCCTTATTTTTTAAGTAGTTTCGTAATAAAATGCTTGTGAATCTAGGGCGTTGGTTAATAATGACGGTTGAAGGTGAGATTTCGAGTTCAAGGTGTATGCATAAGCGAAGAAGAGGAGGGTCCGGGCACTGGAATATCTTTTTTTTTCTTGAGCTTTCGGACTCGTGCAGGAGTCCATCGTCAGAAGTAGTAGCAGCAACAGGACAAACAACAGTTATAGGGCATGTAGGTTAATCATCGGCCGACAGCGCAAGACCGGATGTGACTGCGCAGTTTAAATTCGCAGCCACCAGGATAGTCGCCCACGCCGGAAACAAAAAGGCCGAGATTTGATTGAGGATGAGGACTCAGTCAATCGATTTATCGATTTGGGGAGTTCGACAAAATGTAAAGACACCAAGTTAGCTATTTCTGCCTGATTATACGTGGTGATTCAGTCTTACCTGACCTCAGGCGCGCAGAATCCTTAATTCGACCTCAGGTCTTTTGGTTATTGAACGCTATTAAGTCCAGTGCTCAAACACTGAGCCACGGAGCCATTGTCCTGGCAGTTATCATCAGAAATGGTGGAGGTGAATTCGCCAATCTGGCAACGGGACATGCTCGTCTCGTTGTACCTTAGGGCTCCTTCTGGAGCCCTCACAGACAGTCACATAACAAAAATTGTTAAATAAAGTCCTTTTGACCAATCCACAAGACCGCAAAGTCTCGTCAAAGTTGGATCTTTTATCCTGCTGGTGATTCGTTGGGCTGAAGGTAAAAGTCATCATCCTCACAGAACTTTCTTATGCTCTAAATACCAGACTGTTTCCGAAATTCTATATGAAAGGAATTAATTCGAGCAGCATCAAATAACAGTAGTCCAATGAACTCTCTTGACAATCTGCTTCATCTCAGGATAATTATTGGTGAATAAGCATCCTATGCCGCCATAACAGGCTGGTTGTCATGTCCCCAGTAGGTGCAGTTGTGATATTTCATTAAGCCATTGAATTTCGGGGAAACCTCATCACCCCAAACAACGCTTGTGCAAAAGTACTCAGATCGTCAAGTACAAGTCCTGTTATCCTACTCTTTGGTGTAAACCACTTTTTGACAGTACTGACTAAGCATGAAATTAAGCTTGACTGAGATTCAAAATACGGCCTTAAATTTATCTTTAATTCAAGTGATGGTGGCTAGCACAGATAGATCTGTTGACGACTCTCCACTAAACTCTTATTGTGCTTCAACTGCGTTCGAGAACGTCGAGCAGCATTTCAGGGAGAATTCCCCTTACTCAAGGTCCACTCTGTCGTCACATTTAAGGCCATTGTGTTTAATATAGTGGTCAGTTGGGTATTAGCTGTCCCACTGTATAGGGGTTTTTGACTGCCTGTATACCTTTACTTGATTCAGTGGCGACTCTCTGAATTATTCCAAACGATTCCCGGCAGGTAACTAGAATGATAATCTAGTAAGAGGCAGTTTCCTAGGCTGAAGAGCGCGCTACATCCACATTACTAGGGATATTTTGTTCCTACGCTCTCCCGCAGGTGAGCATATCAACCTCATACTGAGCGGGGTTGAGCGTAACCACATAACTCACGCAAAGAGAAAAAGACACCCCAAAAGCTCTATCAGGTTATATGCTGCCTCTGGCAACCGGTCCAGCCGCAAGAAAGAGGCGGCAAACCGTCCTGTGACGTCCCGTGGGGCTGTGTATGATGTGGTGGCGGTCGGTGAGTGGACGTGAGACATCATGAGCTTGTGTATGTGAGCATGCGGCGCATGCGCGTAATGTGGCCCACTGCCGTCCGCTCGAGGTCGAGTTGTCATCGGACAAGTGGGAGCCTGATCGTGAGGCTTCAGGCGGGAAGGTGGTGCAGTGCGTCCGAGCTGTCGGCGTGTCTTCGCGCGTACGCCGCGAGTCCTTTGCTGCGGTTGTTATGGCGACCAGGCTGCATAGCACGCGATCAGTTGTCGGTGGGGAGGGGGAGCAGGGGACAGAGCAATTACATCTCCTATGCCGCGCCTCTCGTTCTCCATCCAGTCGATCTCAGTAGCTGTGTTAGTTTCTTCCTGTCCAAAAGACCAATATTTATGTACACATAGCATGCTTACGAGTACAAGTCATGTAGCGCCACGTGTGTCGGTGGCAATATTGAATTACGTGATGCGTGTTTTGTCAGGGAAACAGGAGATATCTCTGTACAGTTGCTGCAACATTTCCCTTCTTTCAAAACATCTATTAACTAAGCCAATTCTCCAGTAGATTAAAACGCATGGAAGCACAAAATTTTACCATGGTTTCCACCTTCAAAAGCTGATAAACCGCTGCCTTTAATGCAAACCCCAACCTAATGTATGCGTAGGTGTACAATTAGTAATGTGACGACTAACTTCTCACAGCCAAATACAAACTAGTCAGTCATGCTGGTAGGCCCCATATCAGAAACACATAGTCTGAATTTCCGTAACTACATGTGATGATAACGTATTGTTCATTTAAAATCTGCCCGTGTCGTCGACATGAAAAAATTAAGCAGTCTATCTCATAAAGTATTAGAGAAATTGCACACGAACCCCTGCAACTCAAAAGCCGTTCACGAACGTTGTACAGCCTAAAAGATGAGATCGGTCTTAAAAGACAGTAGAGTGTGGACAATTACCACTTTCTTAATGGTAAATTACATTTTTCCCAAAACCAGAAGTTTGCAAATAATTAAAAAGTACACAATAACAGTACTTTATGATTTTTTTTACATATCCGACAGTAGTTTGATAGTCAGGCAGAGAAGCATTCAATCTGCATGGTGATTTGGCTTATGTTATTTTTAAACGCGAAGTCATGCCGATACAAGCAAAACAGCGAGTTCCGGGGAGCGGCTAAGCAGGTAGGAACGCAATCGCTGAAGCGCGAACTTCATACTCCTGATACTGTCGGATGCACAGCTGAACTCGTCAGCATAGGGAGAGTAATAGACCAGCGAGAAGTAGAAGCTCAAAAGTGATAGTATTTTGTAGAATGTGGTCGCCGTGATTGGAAGCTGTCCTTCATGATCGGTTCGAATGTGAGCCGGAAACGTTAGACAAATGAAATTCTCGTTCAAGCAATAGCGTCTTCTTTTCCAGGAAGTCACTCTTTCACCTCCCCACCACCAGCAACTTTTTTCTGGTGCGTAGGAAGTTGGCAGGAGTGAAAGTAGCTCGAAGGCTGCAGTCCGAGAAACTGCCTCTAGTGCAGAGACTTATAAACGTGGACTGTACAAGAATCATATTTCTTCCGAGCAGTGAGCAAACGAGTTATTCCGCAAAGTTTTGACGATCATTCAACGTCAGGGAATACCGCTGTGCTCAAAAAATACCCCTGACAATGTCGATGCACACTTGGATGCTGACGGTGTCCGTCGTTGACGGTCAAACTGGCGGTTCTCCGAATCTGACAGCAATCAAAATTATCATGTTTACTTGTGGATCCCTTTTTTAGCTCTTACTATTTTCAGCAAGATTTCATCATTATTAATTCACACAAATTCACCCTTAATGATGGCAAAATTCGCTGCCAGATAGTCGCGTGGGTGATCCTTGGGCTACCAACTTTTGTATCCGTTCCATGTCAACGGTAGCAAACATTATCTCGACATTTCGGCGCAGCAGAGACGAATTGCAGCATGTCATGCAAAATCCACTCATGGGGGTTTGCAACTGAGGTTTTATCAGCGAACTTCATTATTGCAATTTATGGCACACAGTTCTACAAATTTAATGTTTACTACTTAAACCCCCATTCGCGGTTTTTCTAGCCTGGCTTTGACTGGGTTTCGTGAAAGTTAAATACTTCCCTTCAATTGCGTAAGGTCCTCTGTGCAAACCCCATTTAGTATTTGATAATGTCTATCTACAGCAAAACGCGCAAAAACATGCAGCCTTGGCATGGGACACTCAGTGGCGCAAGAAATTACCTGGATATAATAAACATCGGTTTTGCTCAGAAATGTCCTGTTCATCTTTAGTAAAATAGCCTAAAAACAAAGTATCATTCAGAAAAAGACCTTCCTTTCCCCCATCTCTCCACCAAGCGGATGGATCTAATCTACCAAAATAACAACAAATTATGTGCTCACTATCAGTCGTCACAATTCCCGTAGCACGGTTCCACTTATTAAATGCCGTCTGTACTCACGGATTCCGGCCTACCACCACTGCTCCCTTCGTCAATCATGCAGATTTACTTTTCCAGATTTCTGAATTGACGTCAGAGATCCAAAAGCACGAACTAACACTTGTCTTTTCCTTATATTCAATTGGTTTTGTTCACTTTAAGTGGAAGACGTTTCGAATTGCACTTGGGCTTATAAGCCAGCGTCCACAATTCTATTAAAGACTATTTTGGGGCCCATTTAACGAGTTAACGGTTAACTGCCGACTATTTTTTTCTCCTTTAACCTGCGTACTTTTCGACTAAAACTCACAGAATTCACTTATTTGTCGTTATGCACTTTTTGCACCCCGCTAAAAAGGAGAGGGAGAAAAAGAACAAGAGATAAAAGTTTCAGCAAAAAATTCTCAAACACTGACGTCTAAGGACAGACAAGAATACATTGAGCTAGTCGCATCTGACAATTAGCACAAACTTCCATTTTTATTCTAAGGTGTGCAACGACTTTCGAGCTGGCAATGTCATTCATTGGAACAAATGCAATAGGATAAAACGGTCGGGCTCTTTTGCTAAGGCAAAAAAGTGTTCGTCGGGGGATGAAAAAATATGATTATGATTCGGTCCTTATTTAAATATCACATGGCATTTTGACTTCTCCCGTTACCTGAAAAGCGAGCATGTGCCTAGGCGCCAGAAATCCTCCTATTGCCTGAAATAAACTATGCATTTCAACCAGGCACATGCCCCAGATATGTTTATCGCCAGAGCTTTTAAAAGATGTAATGTTAAAGGATCGCCCCTTTGAGGTTCAATATTTTCTTAACTTCTATCCATTTCTTAATAAATCGTCCTCCAATCTGCAAACCAAAAAGCGAATTTCCACCGCCTGAGCTGCCAGTGAATGTCTACAATTAAATTTCTGGAGGTCGCGAATCACGGCTTTTCTTATACGTTGAGCATATTTTTTGACTAGAGCCGTTAGCTATCACTTGGCAAACCGTTGAAAACTTCCCATTCGTAGCGCTCTGACAGCTAACTTTCGAGGTTACCATGTGAGTTCTAGGCGTTGTGTTTTTTATTTTACAAGGAGCTATTACAAATGTCTCTATCCTATGTCAGACACATCACATTCCCAGTACAAAAACATATACAAGCGGGTTATTTATTAGTTTAAATCTTTAGCAAATCTGACATAAAGCTTCCAAACTGCCTATTAAAAAAACATATGATTAGTCAGCGACAGATTAAATATCCCGAATATATTTTCCCAAAAACGTCGAGTTGTTATCTTGCAGAATGCTCGCCATGCTTTATCGTTCTGTCCTAAACGCTAGCCTTTTGTCCAGCCGGAGGCATTATTCATTTTGTCGCCAATGACGCGGTGAAAGGCCGGACTATAAACAAAATGGGATCTGGTGAGAAGAAACGGTGGGCTTTAGGAAATTTAGAAAAGACAGAAAACAGGAATATTTTCATTTTGCTTGAACAGCCTTCAAATTCGGTTTGCAAGATAAAATATCCTAATCAGGTTAAAGGTGCCTGACACAGAACAGCCACTAGATGCAGTTGTGGCTATTTAGTAGAAGGAAGAATTCAATGTGCATCCGACCGTTTCCAGTTTGTTTTCAGATTTCAGCCATATTCCAACTGCGTGATAATGAGGCCCGAATTTGTTTCTGATTTTAGCCTAATTAATGTCTAAAAATTTATCAACTAAACACGGGTTCTGTTCAAACTCTGGTTCTCTATGTATTATCACTGTGATCTCCAGAATTCCGATGTACCCACAGAATGTAGACTTAATTGTTGGTCATGTTAAGCAACTGGTTAGTGTTCCAGCAGTGATAAGCAAAATGGAAAAGCGCAATCAAGCTAATTTTGGTGACTTTAATTATTCATAGAACTCCTACACTACGAGGCGAGTTATAACCCTTTTCAAAAAATAATTAGTAGCCTTGCTCCAGCAGAATATAAAAGACCTTTGACTGTTTGAAATAAGGAAATGTATCAGGACCTACCAAAATATTTTTTTGGTAAATCATGTGATCATTTTTTGGCAAAAGGAAATTCACTTTAATCGCAGTTTCAAATTGTTTTTATTTTGTTTTTTGTAATGACGATGAACTATCCCTTTTCCTTTTCCTGTTATGACATACGCGTACGTGTTCGTGGAATGTTTTTAAAATTTTGTCATATGTTTGACAAGTATTCAGCACGTACAAAAAGAATTCCCACAATTTTTGTGTTAATTTAGGTCAAATTTGCGATTTATATATACTAGCATCAAGGTGAAAATAGCATGTTTGCTGAAATTTGGCTCATAGCACCACTTCACCCTAGTGATATCCATATCCACTGCACATGACTGTCTTTTCTGAACAGGAGTAGGCACCTAGCGAATGACTTTTTGTATATGTTTTAAATTGCGATTTGTTGTGGAGAAGTCCAGTAATTAACTTGTTTGAGAACCGCAAGATAACTTCCCTACTGCAAAACTCCACCAGTACTGGTCGGCCATTATTGACCAGCTGCCGTGTACTTTATCCTGCTGAACTACTGTTCACAATTAATTATGTACGTAAATCCCACTGTACCATGGCGATAAGCTATTGTTCCCCTAGGAGTCATAACGAATTGCTGAAAAAGAAACCGGGTGTGTTCTAAAGGCCGGCTAACGCTTCACTCTGGAAATCTCAGTTATCAGTAGAGGCTCAAAGGATAGATCAGCCTCTTAACTTGTAAGTGACCAAGGAGATTGGCGATGCTAATTAGGGAGGTGCGTGTCTAGATCTGCCGTAGAAAAAGGATGACGCAATCCTACATCTCCTTTTATTTAAAGGAGCCTTTGCACACCGAGGAATTAACAGTTTACATAGGAATAAGTAAAATTACTTCGAACTCTTCGGACTAGGTGCCGGTTAAGTAACGATCGATGGTGCGAGAGAGGAAATGGGCAAATACTCACTAAAAACTTACCCTCTCTGGCAAAACTGTTCTTCCTCTGGGCAAACTATGCATGTAAGAACTTTCCCACCAGACATGTCCTCTCACTGTTAGAAGCAGTATAGGTAAATGAAAACAAAGAGTGGTTATTATACAATCTATAAAAAATTTGCTACGCTGTGTGCTTAGGGTTCACAGGACATGATGCTACCTTCACTCCTTCGCAAGGATGCGGGAATACCAAATTGTAGACGTCAGTGTGTGCTGATGGTGGATAATGGTCTCTTATTTTTCAAACCTCTATCGTTTTTACTGGCTCCAATGATTCAGTTTTCAGCGCATGAACTGCAGACACTTTATGCAAGAATTTCCTTTCCGTATTGATCATACCTATGAACCTAAAATTTCAGAGACTCAAAACAAGCCGAAAAGCAAAGAAATGATGGTAGATCTGCTCATCCACGACATACGGGGTCACGTGCGCTGTGGTACATCCGAGTAAAGCATTATACCTAATTACGTTTACTTGTGCAAAAGACTTTAAGTTAATATCGTACAATCACCTTTTAAAGCATGATACCCAACCTTCCGTAGGGCTGACGTTGTTAAATCCTTCTTATATGTCACTTTATTGATAAAGATCTCTTTAAAATAGCCATCCTGAAGCAGACTTGTGCTGCTTATTGCAGCTACAATTTGTAAAATTCTGTCTGAGTTTCAATGTTCGGGCCTCGTGCACAGTTAACATACGTCCCATTGGTGCATTTTAAAATCACTATGCGAAAGTTAAAAATGAATTCTAACATCTCGCCATTCCCAACATGATGTCTATTATAAAAAATGTAACTTCACTCCTATTCTACAGAAAGCTAATTTCTAAATGTAAGGAAAGTACTGGCGGATTCTAACTTACTAGAACATAAGAGGTCGGCCCTCGTGCCAAACATCGAAGGACTTGCGTGTCAATTTTCGGGAACAGAGTCTCGTGCATTCTGCCAGGTGTCTTTGGAGAAGCAGATACATGAATATCTGTGTGTTCACCCTAAATTCCAGCACGATGGGCGCTCTGTAGAAAAGCAATTGTCAAAATTAAACGGCATATAAAGTTTTATTTTGACAATTTTTCCCCTTTAGCTTTGTTTATGTTTACTTAAAATGTTTGGAAACAGGAGCAACCAACAAAGTTCTTCTACTCCTGCCTCTACTAAACCAATTTTACTGTTTTTACGTTCTCCTCTTTGAGGCAGTAGACTCACTAACAATTTCCGTTCGTTTATCTTCAGCGTTGATGCACAGTCTAAATCCCCTCAAGAATTACTCATTTGTGACTGCATCCACAAGCACCACATTCCAGGGCTGTGTTTCAATTTCTTTGACTCAACGATTTCACTTCTCCCACCTTGGCTGTCTCCTACGTGCTTGCTTCTGATGCAACGAAAACTCTGAGTTCACCCTCCATGGAGCCGCACTAGTGCGTTTGGAAGGAGCTTCGGAGCGCCATTCTCTCAAAGCAGCTAACAGAAGCTTGTATGCATTTATAGCGCAACTAAACTGAGATCCAGTAATCAAAAATGTCCCATCCCCAGTTTTGGTTTGGTTATTTCTTCAGCCGCACAAAAGTTATTTTTCTCTCTGTCGGTGTGTCAGGCAAATGTACTTAAAGTAGTCAGCATACTTTTTTGATGTATATATAAACAACAGACGGGTTGCATCTTGTTGTTTGTTCTGGATTTCTTCGATGTGCATGCGTGGACTCAGAGTAGGTGGGTGGGTATGCGCATATTTTCCAGTCTCCACTATCCATAACTACATCCCCAACTTCGGGTTGGTTGCTTCTTTGATCCCACACCCGCTTTATCTCCACGAATATATCAGGCGGATGTACTGACTTGCGTAATTTTCACCCCACTCCTCTGTGCATATGTGCATCAAGCGGGCGCACTTGTTGCAATGTTCTCGATTGAGTCTTTTGTTGATCCTCTTATGAAAACCAGTGTAGTCGAGCTTGCAATCCCCGACACGATATATCAGGTTCTCGTTGCAAGCTTTCACAAATCTATCAAGCCTCCGGAGTTACTTGAATAGAGGTTGGTAAGATGGAGGTTTTTAATTGGTGTGGTTGAATGGCGAAGGCAGATAATTGGAAAATTTATGCTACGATCACCTTTTCCTTCACTGATAATAGTGGGCGATTAGTCGGCATAAACGCTTAAAATACCGGATGAAAGAGACTTCGTTCAGATTAATGTATTTTTTAAAA